TTTCCCCTTCTTTTCTCAAATCAAGGACCCGAGTAATGGTCCGGCCATCCTTCTTGAAGGTGTATGTATTTTTGAATCCGTCATGCTGTGTTTTCCTATCAAACTGCCAAGGTCTTCCTAACAGAATATGACAAGCATCCATTGAAATTACGTCACCCCACACTTCATCAGTATATTTCTTCCCAATCGAGAATTGCACTAAACACCTCTTGCTCACTTTTACCTCATTCCCTTTCCTAAGCCATGACAGCTTATATGGTTGAGGATGTTCGACAGTTTTCAACCCCAACTTTTCTACCATAGTGGTAGATATTACATTCTCGCAACTTCCCCCGTCAATTATCATACTACACACCTTTCCCCCACTAGTACACTTAGTATGAAAGATATTATGCCTGAGCCACGATTCATCATCTACCTCATCAATATCTAAAACCCGGCGCACAACTAAAGACTCACCAGAATCGGCATAGACAATGTCCTCCGGATCCGGATCCGCATCTTCTTGCTCTCCATCAGATTCATCATAAATTGGGTCTTCATCAAAAGTAGGATTATCTACAAGTGTCACAAACTGTCGGTTCGGACAATCAGCAGCAAAATGTTCGAGTCCTTGACACTTGAAACATCGCTTGCCTGCAGCTCCTCCCCTGCTAGATCCAGCACTACCCTGCTCTCCTTTTGTTGCGGATTTTGAACCAGCGCCCTTAACCTGTCACAGGGTGAAGAACTCCCCGCTTTCCCTCGGACTCTTTATCCGACCACTTAGAACCGCTGCCCGACCACTTAGAACCGCCGCTAGACCACTTGGACTTACTTGCTCTTTCTTTTAAACGCCCTCCACCTTTAGGGCTAGTCTCGCATACATCCTCATATATCCAATACTTCTTTGTAATTGAACAACATCGGATATCTCATATCGCAGCCCTGCTAGATATCGAGCAATCGTCTGCTCGTCTTCCTCCGCCACATCACAACGCATCCACAAGCGATCAAATTCCTCTGTAAATTCCTCAATTGTTTTGTCACCTTGCTTGACGTTATGATACTCGATAAACGCCTCTTGCCTATAATGGGTAGGCAAAAAAAAAATTTGCAACAACTTTTTCATCTTCTCCCAGCGATCCACCTTCGGCTTTCCCCTAGCGCGTTGCTTTTCACGTGTTCCCACCAAATCGAAGCATGTTTTCGCAGCCTAATAGCCACTAACTTCACTTTTTGGCCCTCAGTTAGGTCTTTAAGGTCAAAAATCCGTTCTACCGTATGTAACCAATCAATAAACTTATCAGGATGAGTCTTACCATTAAATTCGGGAATCTCGATCTTCATCCCGAAATTTTGAGAAGAGAGTTGATTTCCAGGTCGTATTCCTCGATTCCGCCCTTGGTTCAGAACCCCGAAAGGATTTACGTCCTCCTCTTCATCATCGGATGGATCCTCGGTTCTGCTTCTTCTTCGGATTGAACGCCCAACCTCGCCTCCACAAGTTGTCTCTCCAAATCTCGGATTCGTCTTCTCTGTTCTACAATTTCTACGTCTCGCGAGATCTCTTAGACGCGGTTGGTCGTCCCGCTTCAGAACGCGTCCACGCCCCGGCCACCACGAGCCCGCCGTCCACGACCGCGATTCTATTCAGCCATTGATTCAAGCAACCTGTGCTCTGATACCAATTGATGCCGAAGCGCGAAAGAAATTAGGCTAAACAGAAGAATCGAAAGATAACGAGGAACAAACTGTTCTCTCAATCGATTAACAATCAAAATATCCAAAGTATGCTCAAACGAAACCCTAAAATAAGCTTATATAGCCCCAAACCTAACCCTACTAGGATTAGTAAACATCAAAACGTAAAATTACGAAACTGCCCTTTACTAAATTAACCCATAAAAATACTAAAATAATAGAAAAACTCATCTAAACGACCCCGAATCGCGAAAATCCATCGTTAGTCACCAATAATAGCAGTTGAGTATTGATCAAGCACGCTGTTTCGCTCTTCACCCGACCAAATTTGAAGCTCAATCCAAGATCGTTGACTTGAGCCCGTTGGTTCGTCCTAATCGCATAACGAGTCCAGGTCCCCCTAGGTGCATCAGTCTTCCATGAAGATCTCTCTCTCGCTCTCTCTCACTTAGAGTATTCTGCAGAAATGAACCTGAACGTTTCATTTGAAGATATTATCTGCTTCCTGTTTCCTAGGAATCTTGCTTTCTTTTATGCTGGCAAAAAGAATTGAACTCAAGACAATCTGTTTCTATTTTTATGTATTACTTGGAAATCAACAAATATGACTAACTTCTCTGAGACCTTCTGTATCAATGCAGTGTGAGATTCCACTTCCACATGCTGCACGGCAAGATCTAATTGTTCTCTTTTCGGTACATAAGGTCCTTGGAACCCCTAAGATTTTGCACTTTTGACCAAACTAGAAAATTAGATGTGAACAAATCTTCTCTTTTTAGTGAAGAAAAGTAAAAGTTCTTCTGTTAGTAAAGAAAAAAAGAAATTCCATTGATATGTTACTCTGCTTGAAAGACTCTGCTGAAGAAAAGAGACCCGGAAGTTCATTTTGAAGATGAGTTGTTCTGTCTAGTCCTCGATTTCCTGGAAAAAATGAGCTTACCTTATCTTGTCTAGAAAATTTAGAAAGTGGAAGGGAGTGGGGCTTGTTTTCCCAATTCCAATGTCATTGAGCAATGAGCAACCGCCACTATTAGCGACAATACAGAAAAGGCAAATTGTACTAGTTCAAGCAAAAAGCATACACAATAGAGGAAATTCAATAGGTTTTGCAATGTGCTGCCAAAGAACACCTAGCGACGTTGGACTGACAAGATCACAGCACCCGCCACCTCGTCTTTGTATGTTGTTCCATATTCAGTACCAACTCCAAAGTCCAAACAACTAAAGTTGGAACTTCATGTTGGTTTCTGCACATTCTTACTGAGTGTTTGTCTTTCTCTAATTGTGCAGATGATTTTTTTTAGGTTGTCTCTTCAAATTCTTGAATCTAATCACTCCATTTCTGAAAATTCTACAATAATTGTTTCTTTCCTTCCTTTTTCTTTTCTCTAAGACAATTTGCTTAAATTGTTCCATGAAACATGCACTAAAACAAATGCAACAGACAAAAAAGTGACAAGAGAAGATCGGTTGTTGTAGGGCGACGCGATGCGCGCATTTACTTGCTAATTAATTAATGGGTGCAAATTCAAAAGCTTGAGACTTTCCTCCATTTCAAGGATGCAAACCGGAAGGTCTTATCGTTTGTGCAAATGCGATAACCTAATAACAATCATCAAGAACTTGACTTCTGCAGACACTTAACTCGATCAGAATAGGCTGCATCTCCTCAAAAGTTGTATCGCGGTCAATAAGCTACAGAGGAGCTATGTAAGAGCTTGCAGAGTATATGCAAATTCCATAACAGCGATAGAAGATATCTTCACCTCTAACAAGGGAAGCACGAATTCCTCACGCTTATATGTACTGCTAACACCTAACACGGTAGCCAACCGGCTCCTGTGTGGAAGTATCAATTGAGAGTGAAAACAAACCCCATATTGACCGAAGCTACGTACGAGAGTGATACAAAGTGACTGCTCCCCAGTTTCAGAAGAAGGAACAGAAGGAAATCAGGCGAAGACAGCAATTTCTCAGCACATCCATGAAGATTTAGAATCCTATAACGTTGAACCACCTAAACGTCCAGAAGTTGGCATTCATTCTTCGAAGGAGAAATGCTTTCAGCTAATGCTGAGAACCATGGCAAACTAGAGATAGACCCTAGTGGGAGTATAGATGCAGGGCTGTCGAAAAGCTTTCATACGGTTGAGGAATACGATGCATTGCTGGCTCGGATTTTGTCAACAAGCTTTTCTCATGATAATGTCTCAGAGAACCAAGAGAAAATACCATATCCTGAATCTCCAATGCACGGCCCTCAGAACAAGTACATCAAGACGGTGGATAGAACACCACCAAAAGACGATGTTTTGGTGGACAAGAACATTGTAAACGATGAAGCTGTAAAAGATGACTCGATCATGTTATTGGCCTCAGGATCAGAAACCAAAGAAGTGATGCCGAGTTCACTGGAGTTCCGCAACAGTGATGAATTAATTGCCAAAGATGATGTTGCTCAAGAAGAGAGACGTGTGACGGAGAAAGGATTCAAAAGAAAGACCTTTGCAAAAAGGCTTGAATCGCTTGCAATTGCGACCACCATTGAGTTTCCAGCGGGAATGGCTTCCTGCGAGGGGCAAGTCTACTCTCCTAGAGCCTACACAACTCCTAAGTTCAGCACCTATTCTTTGCCAAAGTCTGAGAATCTCTGCGAGGCCAGCAAGGAGGTCTTCACCAAGGAATTGGTGATCGCCTTTGAGGAGCACATGCAAGAACTAGAAGCAGAAGAAACTATTCCCAAACGAATTGCAGAGAAATTAGAACGGGAAGGTGCCAAGGAGAATCTAGATGAAGTTGCTACAACCTAGATAGGACGATTTTTTGTGTGGATTTGGATAATGAGCAAAGTGTATGGTCCAAGTCTGAGGAGAATTCAGGATTGTATCTCAGAGTTCATGCCCTCGGCCCCTCACATTGTAAGATACATTGAAGTGAGAAATATATCTGAAAATGAAAAACACAAAAAGGAGTTCAAGCACACTCATGTTGTGGGTGAAAAGCGCTGTTTCTTCATCCAACTAAAGCTATAGGTCCATGAACACGAATGTTTCACAACTCCCATCTCAGTTAAATATCCAAGAGGACACTTACAGGTACATATGGTCGTGCAATCACTAACATGATTGTTTGAAAGTATGTTTCAATGATGACTGCCTCATCACTAAACAAAGTTACTCATACTACTAGAAAAAACTGAAAATGACATTTGTCCTTCAGTAGCAGCAACGGACGTATGAGCTAGCAGTTCACCGAGGGCCATAATCAGTCAGTAGATCAATTTCGCAAGAACATAAGAATACTCTAGGTAAAGAATCAGAAGATTCATGAAAGTAATATTCAGAACAAGACCCTCAACAGACAATTTCCACATGACTCAATCCGAAGTTCAAGTAGATTGCCAGTGTACTGGAGCCAAAAAGTGTAAAGCTCACAAACAGCAACAATCAAAGCTGAAATAGTTCTGCAAATACAGAGAAAAACTTCAGACACTACTGTTGGGTTTAATTCAACATAATCTAGATTCTAAAGCATGCATATCAGCATTTTTCAATTGCCTACAAGTTTTTCAGTCATCGTGTAGGTTCAATTGCCTACACGCACGTTAACATGGCAGGACCTAATTTTTTAACCCGCGAATACTTCTGTGTCCATGCCCTGGTTTCCTCGTATCGGCTTCTCTGTTGTTTTTAAATGTGAGCAATTTCAGCAACAAGAGGGTCGTCTGGACTGGGGTCAGTGAGAAGAGAGCAGACTGAAAGGATAAACAATACCAAAGGCCACCAAAACAGAGGAAGTGAGAATTCTCAGTGTCATCTCAATAAGTTACCAGAGGGAGTGAAGCAATCATCATCCATAGCCTCAATTAATTGAGAAACCTTCACCAAACCAACAAATCCTTCAACACAAAGGAGGAATATACAGGCACTTCATTCTAGGATGGCGATTCTCATTTTTGAATCTCACGCTCGATCGTAATGGTGCAACTTGTATAACAAAACTCTTCCAGCAGCATTTCCTACAGCCAAGAAACCTCCTCCCGGGCTGAAATCCACACTGCGAGGGTAATCCAGCGTCCTATTTTGCAGAGGAAAGTTCGAGAATACACTAAAGGATGGGACATGTATCAACTTCAAACTGTTCTTCTTCATGCCAGAACAGATAGCCAATATTTGGGCATCATTATTAAATTTCAAGAGATCCACTTTAGTTGTTAGATTCTCAATGGCTTTGATTGGCTTTCTCTTACCACCCAAAAACTCGTGTCTGTTGTAAACATTCACGATGCCGCTATCTGAACCCGCAGCGAACAATGCTCCATCGGGAGAAGTGCAAAGTGCCGTGCCATTGATACAGCCCTCATCCACGGCCTTATGGAAACAAGTTCGTGTTCTTAAATCCCAGTGATAGACCTGCCCATCACCACCTGAGCTCAGCAATTCCTGCCCATTATTAGCAAAAGCTAGGGAGCGAGCAGTTCCGTTCATCTTCAATGTTCCAATCAACTCCTTTGTCCTGGATGAAACTAGCAAGATATAGCCCTCGTTGCCTACAAATGCAATTGTACTAGAATCAGGAGAAACCTCAAAGACTTCCAGGCTCTTCTCTTCCCTTCCGACAAGGGGACCTATTTTATCGACCTTTGCTTTCACCAAGTCAAAAGTATAAAAGAACTTTCTCCTTCCTGATACAATGACCTGAGATCCATCAGGTGTGAAGGATGCTTTTCTGATAGGGCAATCATCAAGAAAGATGCTCTGTATTTTTGTGTTCCGTTTGCCATCAATTTGAAAAAATCTAATCCTTCGATCTAGTCCGGCAGTGACCAGCAACTGAGCATTCCGATGAAATTGAACCGAATTAATCGGACCGTTTGATGGATCCTCGGCATTTGCATCCACAAGCCTCGAATACTCGAGAAGTCCAGGCAAAAGTTTTGCACCCCTCTTCACCACTAGGTCTTCATCGGTTCGAAGAATGTTGCCCAGTGGTTCAGCATCCTTGTGTCTCCCGGCAAGAACAACCCCGTTTTCTTCTTCATCAGATGATTCGTCATCATAGGAGCTATCTTTCTTATCAAGTTGGGCCCACTCGGTCCCAGGATTTAGCTTAACGTGTTGAGCCCTTAATCTTGATACATACTCGGAACCAGATATAGTACTTTCATTCTCTTCCTTCCTCAGTTTTCTCAATCTGTTAACAGTAGCTATGTTAATATTTGCCTTTTCCTCTTCCTCGTCCACCCAAACAGGTTTTTTTTGCTTCATCTCCTCTTCATCATTCATACAATCCGAGGACTCAGAGTCCTCCTCATAAACGGAAAGTTGACTATTTGCAGTACGGTCAGTGAAGAATAAAGCAGGACCGTTCTGGGCCTCGATCGGGACTTCTTCCCTGTCCTCCTTCCCAAACTCAACAGGCGCATAGAGGGATCCGAACAAAAAGTTCTCGAGCTTTTTCATTTCCTTCTGCTCTTCAATTTCAACATGACCATCCTTCCCTTTCTTCCTCTTCTTCGTCGTCCTTGAGATATCGGCATCCGAGTCTCTTCCTTCATCGTTCACCCTTTTCTCTTTCAACACCGCAGACTCATGGTTTTCATCACTTCTGCTCTTGTTTTTTATCTTGGAAGCAACATTCTGAGATATCAAACTCATCTTTCCCGACAAAACAAAATGACCGGTACTGCAAGAACAAACAGAGCATTAGATGACAGCTCGACAACAGCACCATCAATCAAAAATGCAACTCGTAATGATCCTTTAGATCAACCAGGTTCAGTTGAATTGCATCTCTGTCGAAAAATAAAATACATCACTCCCCTACTACCAAGCACGCGATCCAACATCAGCGAACTAACAAGAAAATAACCGACTCCGAATCCCACAGATGATTCATCAGAATCAATGCCTGCAGGATTTTGAGGTTCACTATTCAGGGTTTCGACGCCTATAGCTGCTGCTGCCTATACAATGTCGCTGTAGTTTCCAAACAAGAGAGGAATGCAAGCAACCATCCAGAACTGGGAAGCAGAACTCCCACATCACCAGACGGATTCCACAAGACCAAAACAAGTCATCTCCTAATGCATTCAAAAGGCTAACTTTCGCATATCAGCAACCAAATCACAAGTTCAAGCGCGAAACCAGATTTTCGGGTCACATCACTCGTATATGGAACGGAGAGAGAGAGAGAGAGAGAGAGGAGCTCACTGTCGCGGGTTTCTTTCGCGGTCCAGACGACGAAGGAAGCTGGATAGGGAGAGGCCTCAATCAGCCTTTGGACGATCGAGATCGGCGGCGGTTGCCGTCGATCGCCGCGGCCGCTCCGGCGTGCGATGGTGCGTCGGCTGGCGGCGGCGGAAGTTTCAGGGGAGAGAGAGAGAGACAGGACGCCGCGGCGATGGCGGGGGGCACAGCGACGGAAGAGAGATGGGAAAATTTCTTAAATCTCATCTAAAACCCTAATTGACAAAATAAGAGGGGCAAACATTAAGGGTATTCCAGTAATTAGACCTCCACGATAAGACATGGGGAAACCAACCCATTTTCACTAGACATATTGTAATGTCAAATGGTGTCACCAAATTTATTTACGTTTCTTCTCATTATGGCTTTTTTCTATTTTTATGAATATCCAGTGTTTTGTTTTTTTTTTATTATGGGTATATCGTGTATATTGAAGGCACTATTTTTTTTATTTTGAAATTTTACGTACGTAGAAGTTAGCTCGAAAAGAGATATTTCCCCAAAAAAAAATGAAAAGCTTAGTTCATCTTTACGTTTTAGAGAAAATTTATGGATTAATCGTCAAATAGAATCCAGAAAAATTTCGACATAAACAACTTTTTACACAATCACCATGTTGTTAATTGTTTTCTTTTTGTTATGCATATCACCATCAAACTGATCAAAAACAACAAAGCAAAAACCCTCTTAAAGATCTTTCGTAACAGAATCACACTCACATCCCCCAACATAAAATTTTAAGAGATGAAATTTGATTATTTCAAGGCTTTGCATGAAATAATTTTTTTCTTTTCAAAATGCAAGTTGTGGCTCCAAATTTTTTTTACTTTCTTTTTCAAATTTTAAGAATATCACATATTTTGTTTATATTTATTGTGGATATCTCGTATATGTTAAAGCCATTATTTTTTTTTTTGTATTTCACTTACCTAGAAATTAGCTCAAAGAGAGAAATTTCCCAAAAAAATTGATTGTTAAGCAAATTTATCAATTAATTGTCAAGTAGAATCTAAAAAGATTTCGACATGAACAAACTTTTACACAATCACCATGTTTATCAATTTTTACTTTTATTGTGCATATCACCATCAAGCTCTTTATTAGAAGTTGTCTTTTATATACATGTACACATAATGCGATGATCAAATAAAACAAAAAAAATCACAGTTACATTCTCGGCTCGAAACTTTGAAAATTGCAAATTTTATTCAATTAAAGCTTTGCAGAAAATAAGAAATTTTTCAAAATGCAAGTGAAATTTCATTCATCTTGGATCGACAAAAAATATATATATCATTCATGGAGTATTTAAAAAAAAGAATCATAATTGACGTTCTTGCATTTATCCCTGTAATTATTTTTAGAGCGAGAGAGGCGATAGAAATGAATTTCATTACAACGTGCAATTCGACATACCGAGATTATTTTCGGTTGATGAATTTCTTTTATCCTTAAGTGTTTTTCACATAACTTACTTATTTAAACCCCAATTTACAAAATCGCGATATCAATTTTTCGATAGCAACTCCACATGAGATGGAAAATCCACGAGGAACTTCCTTGAAACTCGAGAGTATTAGAATATGTATTCATAAGTGGTCCTATCTTTGGAACCAGCAATGCACCAATAAAAATATTGGTGCATTGCTGGTTCCAAAGATAAGATCAATACATATTCTAATACTCTCGAGGAACCTACCCCCACCACATGGCCGTAAATCAAACCCACATCCGATTCAACTCAGCTCATCTCCGCCATGGCCACTTCTCTGTCCTCCGTCGCTCTCTCCTTCCCACCACCAAGTTGCCAACATGACCACCGTGCCGTCATCCCCCAGAAGCCTCTCGTCAAATGCTCCCTAAATGCTGCAGAATCGCCGGACCCTCTTCACATTTGCCGGGTCTTGTCCAAGGCGCCGAGCGACCCTCTACCGTTCGTGGTCGTCGACGGCGGCGAGGACGAGGGCCGCCTCGAAAGAGAGAGGTTTGGCGGGTTGGTGGATCTAGACGGCGATGGGGGAGCGAGGCCGGCTGCCCGGGTTCCCGAGGGGCGGTTATCCGACGTGTGGCGCGAGATCCACGGCCAGGACGACTGGGCGGGCATGCTCGACCCCATGGACCCGCTCCTGAGATCGGAGCTCATCCGGTACGGCGAGATGGCGCAGGCGTGCTACGACGCGTTCGACTTCGACCCCTTCTCCAAGTACTGCGGAAGCTGCAGGTCGAGTTGATTTCGACAGATATATATATATTATTTCTGCATTGCCATTGATTTCATCTACGTCTGTTCCTAGAATGATAAGCGGAACATGACTGGTATAGTTTCTCCGGCAGGTACGCGAAGCAGGAGTTTTTCGAGCGCTTGGACATGAAGGGCCACGTCGGGTACGAGGTCACGCGGTACCTGTACGCGACGTCCAACATAAACCTGCCCAACTTCTTCAAGAAGTCGCGGTGGCCCAAGGTGTGGAGCAAGCACGCGAACTGGATTGGGTACGTGGCGGTCTCGGACGACAAGACCACGCGGCAGCTGGGGAGGCGGGACGTCGCGGTCGCGTGGAGGGGGACGGTCACGAGGCTCGAGTGGGTGGCGGACCTGATGGACTACCTCGTGCCGGTGAGCTCGCAGAAGGTGCCGTGCCCGGACCCGGGGGTGAAGGCCGAGTCCGGGTTCTTGAGCCTGTACACGGACAAGGAGGACGACTGCAAGTTCACCAAGTACTCGGCTAGGGAACAAATACTGACGGAAGTGAAGCGCCTGATCGAGAAGTACCCCGACGACGAGCTCAGCATCACCATGACGGGCCACAGCCTGGGGAGCGCGCTGGCCATACTGAGCGCGTACGACGTCGCCGAGACGGGCATCAACGTGAGGCGGGACAGCCGGGCCGTCCCGGTGTGCGTGTTCTCCTTCGCAGGGCCCCGGGTCGGGAACGCGCGGTTCAAGGAGAGGGCGGAGGAGCTCGGGGCGAAGGTGCTGAGGGTGGTGAACGCGCGCGACTTCGTGCCCAAGTCGCCGGGCCTGGTGTTCAACGAGCGGTCCCCGAGGGCGGTGATGAGGCTCGCAGGGGGGCTGCCGTGGAGCTACTCCCACGTCGGGGTGGAGCTGGAGCTGGACCACGAGCGCTCGCCCTTCCTCAAGCCGACCAGCGACCCCGCCTGCGCCCACAACCTGGAGGCTCACCTCCATCTGCTCGACGGGTACGTCGACTCCTTGCCTTGGATAACTCCCGTCCAATTTGACTAAGCGTAGAGAAAAACATGTTGTTAGCATGATTGAGGATTCTACGTAAATCGAAACGGGGTCAAGGATCTTCTAGTCAAGTTCAATAGTTTTTTTTTTTATTTTTTTGGTAAGGGTAGTCAAGTTCAATAGTTAAGTTCGGTTAAATGATATAGTTTCTAACTAAGACTAAAAATTTCGCTTTCGTCCAACTCGGAGTGATCAATACTATATGATTAATAATAAATTAAGATAAAATATATCCGAGTCAATCAAACACATTACGAGGGTCACCATCCGATGGTTGTTTGTCATTGTCTTACAGGTGGAGGCGATAATGATATTATTAATCACGACAGGTTTAGCTCATCAAATTATAGCCAAACTAGTAGAAGAAAATTTTTGGAGGATCTCTTTGGTCATCGATCGAGTCCGCCAAGAAAGTGTGACGGTCTCCCATTGAAATCATTCGCCCGTATGAATTAATTTTCATGTGTTATTCTAAATTTTGCGACGCATGCATTTTTAAGTTTTTCTATCTTGAAACGTTCGTAACATGTCGACATCGAGATGTAAATTCATGAATTATTTTTTATAATTTTTTTTGGAATTTGGACAATTTTTCAAAATTTGGCTAGAAAGAAAAACGATTCGTTTTCATTTTTGATGAGTTTGGTTCTTAAAAACAGTCGAAATACTGTGCATCATCATCATCCTACCTTGGCAGATACTTGTTTAACATTAATGGTGATGTACGGAACAAAGATTTTTTTTTTTAAATTATTATGAGCGTCACACGTTTGACTTACATGTGCTCAAGCAAGCAAATTGCGGTTGAGGCATAAAAAATTACTAAGCACGGTCCTCGTGACATGTACTTCCTCAATAATCAATAATACATTAAAAGTGTCCTCAAAGAAAAATAATTAATCAATTAATTAACAAATAGGTTACATACAAGACATGTTATGAACATCGTACACAAATTTCGTATCGCAGAGCTGACATCGATTGCTTGTGCACGTCTCGAAAGAACGTCATATTATTCATGCATTCAACAACGTCGCCAATGATTGAATATTAAAATGAGAAATTCGAAGGAAATCATTTCCGTTATGGTTCGAGAAACTCAGATCGCAGTGTTTCTTCGCATGGCAATCGTAATTGCTTTTGTCTCCCTTAGAAGGAAGGCCCCGACGATGTCGCATTATTACAATCTATGTCTTAAATTATGATTAGAGATGCAATTTTGGGAATTCACTAATTAAATGTTTTTTAATTAATAATGTTTAATGATGATGCGATTTCAGGTACCACGGAAAAGGGCAGAGGTTCGTGCTAGCGAGCGGGAGAGATCCGGCGCTGGTGAACAAGGACGCCGACTTCCTGAAGGACCACCACCTGGTCCCGCCTTTCTGGAGGCAGGACCACAACAAGGGCATGATCCGGAACCACGACGGCCGTTGGATGCAGCCCGAGCGCCCCAAGCCGGAGGATCACCCCGCTTACATGGACCATCGTGTAGAGCAGCTGGGCCTCCAATAAATGGTCACACTTGATCGAAAAAAAGAGTGAAAATGTCGCACATCAATTATGGAGTTTTTAAACGGATGGATCGTGTCGAGTTTGGAACGCCGGATATACAAACCTGAATCAAAGTGACCCGTTTAACTCGTATTTACCTATTTTCATGTAATGCGGTAAGAGCGATCCGTGCTAGTCAATTCACGGCAAATCCATATACATCCATATGAAAAACTCTTTTATAACATACTTTTTTCAAAGAAAAGTAATAATAAAAATAATATATCCGAAAAATTTTAGAAAGTACGCATAATTTGATATGAATTTCAAGAAGTTAGAAGTGGTTGCAAGGTGGTCGCTTGGTTGCAACTACTGAATAGTCGCATCGCCCAACTCTCTCTCTCTCACACTTGAAATAATTAGTCAATTGAGAATGATTTCATTATTGATAATAATTTATATCTAAATATTTTCATGAACGATGAAAATATTTTTCATTCGTTTGTTTTTTAAACAATACAAGTGATTGTGTTTAGGAAAATATTTTTCAAATCTTTCATTTTCCGCGAAACAAAAGGAATCGATTTTTTTTTTTTACGGTTAAAAGTGGGTGGAAAATAGATTTGTTCTAGACCAATTAACACCCGTGTAAGACCAGGCTTCTATGTTTTAGACCAAGTTCAATCTATGTAATGGAAGATTTTGTAACTATATGCAACCCAACCCAACATATTTGAATTAAAAAGTGGGTATATCGTCCATATTGCCACTTCTAACACATCACTAGGATTGAGACACTATCCATTCATTTGTGAAGAATTGGTGGAGAACACTTGGTAAATGTAAGTACGAAAGGTCATGCATGTAAAGCCCCTATTGAAAGAGGGGCATCAAAAGGTCACTCTTGTCAATGAAGTAACTATAAAAGTGGTAATACATATTTACCTGACTAATTTCCTCCTCTTCAACCCCTTCAGTCCTGAGCAGGACCTTAAAAGGCTCAAGAAAAAAAATATGGGGAAGAGACTCCCCGGTATGATGGAGGCTCGTTCTCATGGTCTCTCCGTATTCCCTCCCTTCAAGAAAGGAAAAGATTTGGGGAGAACATGAGGCTTCTTGGGTGATGAAGGTAAACATAACGTCAACTTCAGTTGGCTATCTGCGGGTAGGCAGGTATAGTAACCCTCACGCCTGGGAAGTGCACCCCAGTTTGACAGGCTTGTATTCGCATAGTTGATTGGAGTATTAGGAGATTTTTAACTTGGAAACTGTCGAATTCCACCATCTTTTTTCTCACTTTTTCGAGACTTTCTTTGATATTCTTTTTCTCCTTAATGAAAATAAAAAACGACTCCATGGAAACTTTCGGGAGATTAGGAAAAGAAATTGGTATTGCAATAGGGTAAAAGAACAAAAAAAACACAACCTGAATCTCCGGCAAAAAATTAAAAGAAAAGAGAATCCAGTGGACAAAATATGATTCAAATTAGGATGCATTTGTATCACTGAAAAATTCATGACAAAGAAAAATGATATAGTGAAAACAAACCTAGAGATCTTAGGCCGGGTATTCAATTACGTGTCTGTGACTGGGTAGCATCTCACGATGCCCTTTTGACAACACAGGCTATTTTGGTTTAGTCCTGTACCTTCCATCACTTATAATTTCCCAAGCATGCATAATCTTTTGTTTTAAAATTCTAAAATATCGTCAAAGCACTAATTTGGTGCGGCCATTATTTAACAAAACCGTTTTCTCCTACTCCATTTGCGGGTGAACGAGTGTTTGCAAATGAATATCAATGTTCATGCAAAATGTAAGCATGATTTGAGAAAATGACGTGTCATGACAATATTCATTATACAGAGCCCTAGTATAACAATCATCATCGGATTAATTTTTTTTTTTGGTCAGGATCATTGGATTAATTTTATTATGTCAAAGCCTAAAAATTAAATTTCCTAAAAAATCGGCGCCGTCCATCTCAGTTCCTTCCATCCTGCTCATCTTCCTTCCAGAACTTGGCGCTCTCGCTGCGATACTCACCTCGCTCTTGCCGCGTCGCTTCTCGCTCTGCAAATCTCTCAAGCAACAGCAATGGAGGTCTCTCCCATCGCCGCCGTCTCCAAGGCGCATCTCTCGTCGCCTTCCTCAGGTCCTCCTCGATCGCGTGTATTTCTCAGTTCGGTCTCGTTCGCGATCGCCGTAGTTCTTTTACCGCCACCGACCCCCTTCTGTCGCGCATCATCGTCTTCCTTAGAAGCAGTCTTGTTCCCGTTTGAATCAGTTTTGGAATTGGCGATTCTAGAACCCAGTAACGCGATCGAATGTAGTTTCTTGAATAGGCTACAGATTCGGAGGCGACGAATCGCGAAAACGATCGGGTTAAGCTTGAATTTTGTGTACTCTCAACTTGACCGATTACCCTTTTGTGGCGGGTTTAAGTTGAGTGTGTGTATGGAACCTGATTGTGGAATTACAAGTAACGAGTGCTTGGAACCGTAGTTAAAGAGAGGATGAGGTTGATCAGTACCTCACTCTGCGGCGGAAGAACGGAAATGAGGCGGCCGGTCAGGTCCAAGAACAGAAATTGCTCGAGTTTTGCTCGGCTGTCGTTGAATTCGGTATTATAAGGTCTCGTCGGTTTGTTCACTTATGTTCTTGCTATGTGCACCAAGTCTTGAGTTCATGAAAATAATCAAGGTGTCATGAGAGCGCGAATTTGATATGTTAGTGTTCAGAAAGTATTTTGTATTGTAACCCTTTGTGAATTTGCTAATCCATCTTCAATGAACTTACCATTGATTCCAGATACATTTACGTATGGAAGGATAAGATTTGCCAAACGGCCGCAAGTTCTGGTTTTTTCAACATCTGGAAGGAGCGCAAAGACTTTAGATGGTCGAGACAGTTCATCTATTCAAAAGCATCGTTGCGTAAAGGTCCGATTGATTACTGACCCATAGTTGCTATAACTGGTTCTCTCTTTCAAAATCTTTCCACTTTTGTAGATGTGATGAGATGATCATATTTTCTCTTCCACCCACCTTACCCCCTTGCCCATTGGAAGTTGTAGGTTTTCTGCAGCCAGAAGAAAGAAATTCCTACCGTGTCAGCCGGGTATCTTCTTTTTGAAGGCTATCCATTTGCTTATTCTGAAAGCATGCACCACTCTATATCACAGTAGAAAGTGGCTTCTGTTTTGCACTGCTGTTTTAAGTTGCCATATAAGTGATTCATGTATAGTCATGCTTAATTTGTCTGCTTCAGATTTTAGATGCATTTAATGCTTCTTGCTTTGTTTTTCATTGCGGAGCATCATGTGTGTATATATCATAGTAGAAAAAGGAAAATGTTAAGAGTTCCCCTAGGGCACTTGTTTAGGGTCATCAATTGTGCTTTGAAAATGTTAAAGAGTTCCCCCAGGGCACTTGTTTAGGATATATCTGAACTTATATTGTTAAGGGCAATATCCTAGCGATGAAAAATTTTTAGGATAATCACAAAAGCTTAATCTCTACTTTCCCCTTAACTACACTTTGCACTCTCTAATTTCAAAACTTATATTTTTCACCTTCTGTTCAAGATTTACATTTTATGCCATGAAATCTCAAGGGAAAAATAGGGAAAACCACATATTATTTTGACGGAGGGTAAAGTGTGTGGTCTATAGCTTTGTGTAAAATGAGTAACGACTTCACATGGTCTAAATGTCTTGTCCATGTCTAAGCAATTAACTTGATGTCAAAACGTGTAACTAATGTCGCTAGGTTCTACTAACAGCCAGCCAACGACGTAGTTCTCTTCACTTAGTAGCATTAGTTGGTGATTTTCACTGTATGGATTTGATTGGTTTTGTTTCCCATGTATTCTTCTACTTTCACTTTTTTAGATTTTATTGGAAGTATGTTGTTCCTGTTCCTTTTCACTATGTTTCTGAAAAAAAGATTGTGAAGAAGCAATTGAAAAGGAAGAGGTATCAGACGGATTGGAAATAGAGGAAGATAAAGAATAGCTTCTCACCCGTCTGTATGGGTGGAATGTCAAAGAAGGAAAATGAAACTAAACTACTAACATAACATTTATGGTGCCATTTAGTTTCATTTTTAAGGGTTCTTTGAGAAATTCGATTAAATTGTGTCTTTTCCTCTGTTTCTGTCCAAAGTTGGAGGGATTAAAATTCGCCCCACAGAAACATTTTACCCCCAAAATCAACTCCCGCAACTTCTTCTCCTCTTTCTAAATAGTGGAAAATCACTTTCGACCCTTATAAGCCTTCCACAAATTTCTTCTACCTATAATCCACCCTTCCCAAGCAAAGAACCAATTTTCATCTCTTGTTTATCTATTTCAACTGCTGCAGAAAAGCTTGATTGCTGATTACTTTATACTTGCTAGGTGCATGGATGATGTATATGATGCTTTGGCTAAACGCCTAGTCCCTACAGCAGCAGTTGCATCAAATCCTAATTCAAAGTGAGTTGAAGCTATTTGAACTGCGTAAAAACTTGCATAATTTATTACATTTTGTTCGTTGTTGGGTACAATATAAATACCGATTGCTCAAGTCCTCATAATGATGTATATCGATCTCACTCGATCTGGTCCTATTCAAGCTCTTCTTAACTTCCACTGCATTTCTCTTTTTGTACGTAATTATTCTATATGAAACACCATGGATTTACCCAAGTAGAACCTAGATCAATTTTGAGCGAAGAAGTCTAGAGCTGCAAGGATGCTTGATGATATCCCGATAAATAATGACAAGATGACTTTTATCCATGGAAATAACGGACTGAGCTGTTTAAAGAGTGTCTCTTTCCCCATGTCGGAAACCTATTGTTCTCAAGGTTGAATCATTTTGTGGCTGAACACTGGCTACAAAAAGTCGATGTTTTTGTTAGAATTACTGCTGAGACTGGAGCTTCACCATGCCTGGAACCTTTCCTTCTCGATCTTGAATCATTTTGTGGCTGAACACTGCTTACAAGGAAAGTCAATGTTTTTGTCAGAATACTGCTGAGGTTGGAGCTTTTATTGTTTTCCTCACTATTAGTCAATCACTTCTGCATTGATTACCCCTCCCTCTCATGTACATCCTCTCATCCCTTTCTCGCTCTAACTAAAAGCAGGCGACTAATCCTGATAAATGCCCATGATCATCATTTTTACAAGACCAAATTCGAACCTAGACACAATGGTTTATGATGTTCATCTACCATTTCCTTCAATGAATTTAATAACTTGAAAACTGTGCTTTTAAAAAAAAAGGGAAATTCATGGGACACTTCCACCGGACCGAGTGCATAGCTTTGTATAAAGTGTATATCATATCTGACCATGTTGATCATGCTTGTTCCAAATTTTGTGGAATAACTTAATTCAAGTATTGCAGGTATATTTTGGGTTTGGCCGGTCCTCCTGGTGCTGGAAAGTCCACTCTAGCATCAGAGGTAGTACAAAGAGTGAATAACTTATGGTCTCAAAAGGCTTCTTCCCTTGATTCTCTAGTGGAACCAATGGATGTTGCATTAGTCCTTCCCATGGATGGCTTCCATTTGTATCGCTCTGAGCTAGATGCTATGGAGGTGAACGTTTTCTTTTTCTCTGTGATTTGCATGTATAATTTTGCTATTTGAGATGAATGATCTTTGTGGTCTTTTAGAAATCGTAACTTTTATAGATCGACAGAATTCTTTCTGATGGTTTGCAGTAAGATGCTGTCACAAAGCAATTTCTGGTGATGTGGTCGTAATTTAGGGGGTGGAACCTGCTGTATGGATTTTCTACCCCCTCCCCGAACAAAAGTTATAGTTGTTCTCATAAGTTAACCCTATTCTTAAGTACAGGAGTTAAGCTGCCTGCATTTGTTTGATTAGGACTTTGAAGGAGATGCTGGGTTTTGCATTTTGTGTTACAGTTTACCTTTTTTCCTCTTCTTAAATGAGAAGCGTCAACATGTAGCGCGATGTATAGAAACGTTCAGCGATCACCACTAGATGGAGGCAAGTCAAGCCTTTTGATATTTTATAAGAAGCTAAAGTCCGGTAACCCCTTGCGCGAGTTTATGTACTAGTGATCTAACCCCACTCCAGCTATTCATCAGACCCTGCCCATTTACAGATTCTTTTAAGTGGTTTACTTAACCAACGGGTCTAAAGAGTCAATCTAGCTTGCCCAATGATGAGCAAGCTAGAGGGTCCTATTGGCTGTCTATTCCATGTAAGCAATAAAACTTGAAAAGCCTCTTCCGGGCTGGTTGCATCCACATTTGTGAAAGGAAAGAAGTGAAAAGGGGAATAAATATGAGAAATTGCTTTTGAAAATGTACATAATAAAGCAAATCCAGTAAGATGATGATGCACATGGTGGGTATGGGGAAGGACCTACTGTTGAAGTTATTCTGTGGATTGTGATGTATGAGCAACATTAGAAATACAACCAGTAGAGATAAAAAGAGAAAGTAGAAAAGGAAGTCAGATATCGAGATTAGCTATCCTTAACTGGACAAGCATCAACCTCAATGCTTGTATAAAGAGTATGACCCGTTTGGTGACAGTGATGGAATGAGAATTTAATGTGATAGTTATTATGTTGTAATGTGGTTTAAGTAATATAATATCTATTACACTGCATGGTTTCAGGAATGACATGAAAAATGGGGGGAAGAACCTTAGACTTTCCAAAATACCCGTAAAATCGGATTTAGAGGCAACATAATTATTATCACTTCAATAGTCCATCATTATTATTCTTGAGTTTAATATCCCATATGTATTGTTAGATGTACAATTTATTGTGTGCGATATTTGATTTTATTTTTGATAATTTATTAATGATTAAAAACTAACGCTAAGCGCATAACATATGATTATATTAAAGTACATATTATATTATGGTAATTATCACTTTAATGATGAGTTGAATACCCTATATATTATTAAGATGCTGCAGTTTACTTTAAATATTTATCTATTATTTAATAATTAATTTATGATTATCATTTGAATTTAATTACATAATATGTGATTATACTAAGATAAAAAATTATTCGTTACTTACCTTACCAAAAAAAAAATTATTCATTACATAATTAGTAGTATGATCGAAATATTTATTGTAGGATATTTTGAGCATTGATTACTACAATTAGCAATCAAGATAATTGTTATATTATGAATAATATAATATATAATTTTGAAAATTAGATAATCATACCTGATAGCGGGCGACTAACATATATCATATTATGATTAATTATTGATATTATAAATAATTTTCTATTGTCAAGTTAACATGATTATTATTGCGTCAATTATTCACTTATTATTTGATATGTTATATGTTAATCATATAATATTTGAATATGTAAAAAAAATCATACTTGGCATTATCATTTTAGGAACAATATAAAGAAATTTAGTTATAATATGATTAGTATCTAAACTTGGTAGATTGAGTGGAAGAAAAGAGATGGGGGTATTTTGAGAATAGCTATAAGAGACAGGTTGTTATAACTATTAGACAGAGGGGCCATGGAATAGCTGTAATATTATTCCTACAAGGTAACGCTACAATAGGCAGTCAACCTTTAATAGACCTGCCATGTAATAGTCATCACTGCAACTAATCGTGCTATTAATTAGAAGATATACATGCAATGCAGTTTGATGTTACTTAATTATCCCACTTTCAAGTTAGCCCCTTTTCTCCCAATGCAATATTTTGATGAATGTTTCCTACAACCTTTTGTTACACTCCGAAGAAAATCATGGAAATGCGTATTGTCTAGTTTACCTATCATCCTGCACATACCTCAACTCTGAACATTACTGATCCAATTTTTTGGTTTATTGTTTGGATATTAGGACCCGGAGGAAGCACATGCAAGAAGAGGAGGTGAGACTTTTGTAATTGTACTACCATATTTGGGGACTTCTGCAAAGTAACTTACAGAGCCTTTGTGTGATGTTTCAGCTCCATGGACATTCAACCCTGAGCTGCTGCTTACTTGTCTCAAAAACCTGAGGGATCAGGTGATTTGAGTTGTAAATTGCCTCTACCAATGTATTTTTCTTTTCGTAAAATTTTCCATCCATATTGCACGAATTAGCTGCCCACTCCTCATTGGACTTTTTAACCCAGTGTTGGCTCTTTCCGATTGTTTATCATGCTGAACAAAAAGTGTTTTTTTAAAGAACGAAAAAGAATAACCCGAGAAAGCTGCTTGCTGGTTAAACTTTGTTGCTAAATTCTTGTTAATGTCTGAATTGAAATGCTCGAGATAACAAGCCTTAATTTTAGTTTTCCTTTTTTTTTTTGGGGGTGGGGTTGGAACCCCAAGGAGGTGTTTACAAGTTATTCCTTGCCATTAAAGTGTTCTGTTTCTTTGCATCTATTTCAAGGGATCAGTTTATGCGCCATCCTTTGATCACGGCATTGGAGATCCAATAGAAGATGATATCTTTGTGACCCTTCAGTAAGTAGTTGTTATATCTTCACTATCGATTCATCTAGCTTTTGATATATAGATAGCGAAATAAATGAAGTAGGCAATCTTATTACGGTGCATAACAATTTATTGATACAGAAGGTTGCTAATTGTTTAATGGTGTGTAGTAGGGTCATGATTATGTTTCTAATTGTTTTAAACTAATAGATGGAAAACAATGCATTGAAAATCTATTAAAAAGCTTTGGTCAACTCCTAATAAACTTCCTTTTCGCTCTGTTGATTGTGAGACAAACCAAGAAGAACAGTTATCTCCTCTTCTTCTGTGCAGATTTCGAACTCAAATTGTCTCTGTCTCGAGATGCCTCTAATTTTTCCATATATTACCATCACTTTTGTGAGAGATTGCGAATCTCTCACATTGTGTGCAAAAAAATGTTTAGAGAGGATTGTACACTGGAATTGTTGGCTAGTCTTTTAATAAAAGATTGCAGATGTTCCAAATGTCGGATTGCGAGAAATATAGTGTGCTACCCTGGTAAAGCAACTTCCATGTTTGTGGAAATTAGTGTATGTGGTTCAAGGGTAACATTCACCTGTTTTGCAGGCACAAAGTGGTTATTGTTGAAGGCAATTATTTGTTGTCGGAAGAAGGGGTTTGGGAGGATCTGTCATCCTTTTTTGATGAGAAGTGGTATAACTTTCGGTTTTGCAGCCTTTCAGGCCCTTTTATGAGATTGTGCATGCTCTCTCATTGAATTCAAGTCGAAGGCACCCATGTTTATTTTATGCTCAGTTATAACGTTCTTATTTGGGAGATATGCCCGCCCACTTGGTTCTTTGGTCCAGACAACCCATGTGAAAGTCTAGTAGCTTTAGTCATATTTTGCATGATATGGCAAGATTTTAGGAACACAACAGAGAGGGATAGGGGACATAATGTTTGGTTAGATTGTTACTCAAATCACTTGAGCTCTCTATTGATAGAGCATATATATACTCATAAAACGTTAACCATCTTATTCAATATCTACCTATCAACTGATTCCTGATACAGCTTAAAATAATTCAGAAATATGTGGCAAATATGCATCGTACACATTTTTGGTCTAAATCACAAAGCACAATTAAACATCACAAATCTATCAATGTGCAAAGTGTCTACAAATGCTGCATGTTTGATGGCATCTGTATACCTTCTTTCCCCTCTACCATAACAGCTATAAAGAATATCATGTCATGAGGTAGGAATTTCCATGAGTGAAGTTCATTATTCATCTTTTGCAATCTTTGCTTGTAATACTGACCTGAAAAAATAATATCATGGAGTAGCTATGATGTTGGTGCATACTTATAAAACACCAGGGTCTAATCCTTTGCCGTTTGAACTCTGGTCCAGTTACATTAGAATGATCCGCTTGCAGTCTTGCATTAGTGGTTCGTATTTTTAGATGGTTATTATTGCTGCTTTGTTTGTGAATTGAGATCTCGTCTATGGATGCACTAGTTCAATTGACAGGCAGCTGATGAATAGCATCTTAGGAGAGAAGTTTTATATTTGCAATTACTTGGCGATCTCATAATGTTGCGGCTGAGGAATGTTATTTAAGCATTGTAATTCTTTCTGCGCAAGGTTTGTTGACGTTGACATTGACAAAGCCATGCAAAGAGTTCTAAAGAGGCATATTTCCACAGGTGGTTGCTTCTTCCAGAGTTCCAGTTGTTTTTTTTGGTTATATATCTCTGTTGATTTCTTCTTTGATTGATCACTAACGGGAGAATTAGATTAGATATTGACATACTTTGCCTTTGTTTTATTTGCAGGAAAGGCTCTGGATGTTGCTAGATGGCGGGTATGCTGGTCTTCTCTTCTTCCAACTGAATAAATCCCCTAACCTCTTCATCATCCATTGGTTGAACGCTGAAAGTCATTTTGCAGATAGAATACAATGATCGACCCAATGCGGAACTTATAATGAAGTCAAAGAAGAATGCCGATTTGATAATCAAATCAATTGACTTCCAAACGTGAATTCTCTGTGTCTGCTTTTTCAAGGAATTAGAATCCCAAGGTCGGTCAGATTTCCAAACCCTTGGGATTTAAATGATCTAGACCTAATGCCTAAGCTCTCTATTGAGTAATAATGAAGATAATACTGTGGTCCAGATGAAAGGATGCAACTAGTGCTTTTTTGGTCAATGCAGTCAGAAAAAAGTCAATCAACTGAACTGTACAAAGCAGTCAAAGAGAGAGTATATCTAAAGTTTAGTTTAGGGAATTAACTCACAAATGGGCCAGAATATCGTTTTGTTTCTGGGGAGTGCACGACAAGGATTAAACTTTGTCGACGCCATTAAGATGTATATGCGATCCATCGGGCAGTGTTACTGCACGATGAATTTTCAGTCTGTTTCTATGTTAATGAATGATGTTTGCAAATGTTTTAATTTGCTATCCGTGCAGTCAAAACACTGTTCTGCTTGAGCATTTTTTTGGGTGTAATTTGTACAGCGATTGGGCAATCTGTATGGTTTGATATGGAGAGAGTTTGAACATTAACTACTTGGGATGTATAGCAAGAAAAAGAAGAGACTTGTTGATTTTATGTGGATGGTGCACCAATTTAGGGCATCTGGGATGGGAGCTGAGTGCAATCTCTATCATCATTAGGTGTATGAAAACCACGTTGTCGGATGCGATGCATCTATGCCTGTGGTCCAGTGGCTGAGATAGATGTTAGGATAAGTGCAGCTGTCAAAATCTTCCGAACATGCTTTTTTTATCTTTAAAAAGGAATCAGCAAATTAGATTTTTACAAGTTTCTGGAGTTGTTGCAGCGTGTCTGATGATGTTTCGATTTTGGAATATAACTGATTCAAAGTGTCCTCGTCCCAACGATAAACATGAATATTCTGCTAAAAAAATTGAAGTACTTTTAAAATAAAAAAACTTACCTTATAGAAAGAAAAAACGCAGAAAAGGGGAAGAGAATTAGAAAAAGGAGAAGAAGAGAGAGGAAGGGCGTGGATGGAGGGCAAGGCTATTGCAGCCGCCGCCGCTGCCGCCGGTTGCCTCGAGCGGGGGCAGACTCTCGAGGCAACCGGCGCCTTGCTTGGGTTGCCCAATGCAATCTCCACCTGAGAGTGACTCGGGTTTCGGAGATTGACTAGGTTGCCGGCTAGGGCTGTTCCACCTTTGTCGTACCTGGAGTTGATATTACATGAGAATGACCCGAGCTAAGGGGGACTCGCTGTCGCCTAAGTTGCGTGATACAAGGCAAGCTTGAGCTCGACTAGGCCAGATATTCGAATAGCTCGAGCTAAAATTTTAATACTAGATCGAGCTTGAGTAAAGTGTTGAGCATTAGATTTGCCAGTCGAGTTCGAGCTTGACACTTTATCGGCACAACTCGATTCAATTCCACCCTTACTTTTTTTGTTTCCTCTTTTGCATTCATATACTTTATTTGTTTTGATATTTAAATGACTTCTTTTACTTTATGTATTAGTTGGTGGATGGATACCTTACGTGCTACCCCATGTGGTCAGAGATCGATCGTGACTGTGGCCGAAGTCAATGGCAAGAGCACATTGAAGAGGGTTCCAAAATGTAATTTTCCAAAGAAAGTGAACTGTGAAGAACAAATTGTGGTGCACGTGAATGACTGTTTACACGCGAGTCACGCTCAAGCATCCTATAATAACTTGCGCTATTGTTCAATAAATTAATTGCTTTTGTGTTTTTCGATAACCATTATGATCCGAACAAGTATTTAAAAGATTTCCGACGCTGCGCATATAGACTTTTACATCAAAAAAATGCCGTGCTTGGTGATCCCGATTTTCAGATCGGATAAAATAGGATGAGAAATCATCTAGGACAATTAGGACGATTGGGCCGAAGATAGCGGCAATGATTGAACAATCGATGTTCACGTCAAGAGAGAGAGAAAGAGAGAGAGTCATTAAGAATGGTGACCACACTCTGATGGTTGCATTCTTCTTCTCCTATCTTTTGGACATTCGTAATTTGAAGTGATCCGGATTTAAAAAAAAAAGTCATGTTTGGTGATTCAGATTTTCAGATCAGATAGAATAGGATGAGAAATCATCTAGGGTGTACGATCGTGGAAGACCGAAGATAGCAGGAATGGTTGAGCAATCGTTGTTCACGTCACATAGCAGGAATGGTTGAGCGATCATTGTTCACGTCACAGTAGAGAGAGAAGAGGGAGAGGGTCATGAAGAATGGTGACCACACCCTGATGGTTGCATTCTTCTTCTCCTCTCTCCTGGACATTCGTAATTTGAAGTGTTGGTTTGCTACTTTTATTTTCTTCTATATATGCAGAGGAATTCTTATCTAAACCCATCAGTTGATATTACTTACATCTGCCTAACCCTACAGATGATAAAATAGTCATCAAACACCAAATGATGGTGAGTTCGTTTTGCCGAAATATTCATGCCGAAAGAAAATACTTTCCGTAAAAATATTTTCAAGGAGAGTACATAGTTTTCGTTTATTTGGTGGTATGCTTAAAAGCGCATTAAACTTTATGATAAAAGGTGAAGAGGCTACTGAGCATTTGTGATAGGGGACTCGTCATGTTTGGGAAACTGATTTCCTTTATCTAGGGAATTCGTTTACCTGAATCTAAGAATGGGTGTTTTCTTTGAATATAAAAGTTTTTCTTGACGAAGTATTCTCCACGAACCAAACATGCGAAAGTCCGAAAAAACTAATTCGGAGAAAACTGTTTTAGTGAAACAAATGCACGCTATCCCAAACTGATATGTAAATCAACCTTATTTGTCTAATTACCTTGTATGTGTTGACGGGGAGGATTATCACATCCAATAGGATTAATTGTGCGCTCAAAGAGTCCCGAATGCCATATCAAAAAGTATAAGAAGAACACTTTCCACTTTCCTATCATCCATTCTTTTCCCAGCTATGTCAATACTATAGTACACAGGCAAGTGCTAATCAACAATTACGATCATGTGGATCATAAAAAGGCAAGCAATGTAGGGGTGTATTTAGTCCGGTTTTGCCAAAGATCTTTGGGGCCTCAAAATCCATTGAGCAAATGCAAATGGCGTTTGACAATTTTTTTTTAGAGTTATGGTGAAATACCGCATTTCCAACGACCTTAGCCCAAGATAGATACGGAGATACTTTGAAATGATGCATTTCCAGAATACAAATAGGATTTTATTTTTTTCCAATTTTAGCCTTACTATACTTTCGTAATTACGGAAATGTCCTCGAAAATCCTAACATTGCTGGTGAAGGCAGCCTTTAGCCACCAGCGTGTAGCTAGCGAGCCGTTGGCATGTGGATGGCGAGCGACCACCACCCTCACATGAGGTCTCCCATTTAGCTCACTGGTGGTTGGCCGCCGTCCCATTTAGATCTCTGGCGGCTAAGTTTCGCCGAAAAGGTTTGTGAATTTAAAAATAAAAAAAAGAACTAGTAAAACTGTAAAAATCCTTTACAAAGCGTAGTTTTTTCCGAACAGCATTTAAGTCAAAGTTGCTTCTCAATGTAATTTTTAAATTACGCTTTATCAAATACTATTTGCAATTTGGAAAACCCCTTTCACCTAAAATCTTTCGCATTTTCCAAAAAACTTTCTCTCAAAACCGAACCAAACGTACCAATAACATGGAAATTGCCAGCTACATCCTAGCCACTTATGACTCACAACCCTTGATGTCTTCATAACAAGGGACCATTGGTCCATAGTCATCGGTCAAATTTGTGGTAATGTTCATTCACTAACTCTCTAATTGGCACATAGCAATCGATATTCCCCCTCTAAAATTTAAATCTTTTTTTCCTGGTTTTGGATTAAGTATGACCATAAATTTTGCCAAATAAAAAAATATAATTCTTGAGAACCAAAAGAAAAAAAGAAATTGAGCATGAGCAAATGCCCCAATAAAAGAGCACATGCTGATGTTCCCTCCTCCAACATGCCATCAAACATGTTCCCAGCTCTGTACCGTCCACAACTAATTTCTATCCCACAAATTCAATTTATTAAAACCCAACATCAAATAAAGAATCTTGAAACTAACCACTAATACATTTAAAATAATTAAAATAATTAATCGGCAAAAGAAGAAATCATGGGAAACAAAGCACACTAGCTACAACGAAGCACGGTACATAGGTACATGTTATTGCTAGGCTAGCGCCACACAACATAGGTTTTACACTACGACAAAGCAAAGACAAAATCTGAGTCTTTGGACATACGAAAGAGTCATCAAGTTTTTAGGGTTCATATTTGATGAAATTCAAAAACATAGAACTCCAACTTTAACGTAATCACAAGACAACGTAATGCAAAAAACACATTCAAATCACCACCTGCTCAATCCATCTGTGCTGTCTTTCAACCACCAGATCAAAGGAGCAGGCTGTGTGTCATCCACACGCTTTCTTTAGCTTCCGCTCTTGCATTTTTCCATGGCTCTTGGAGCTGAATATATATTGCAGCCAAAAAAATCCCAACCAAAAGAAAAAGAACATTAACACCAAATAACATAAATAGATATAAAGAAACAAAGAAAAAGTGGTGCCTATATCGGTCAAATTGAATGCGCAACCGTTTATTATGAAACGGCACTACTTATCGCTTACATCCTAATTCTTAACGTAGAATTAAATGCTCCATAAATTGATAGAAAGATACTAACCGAGCCCAACCGCCTCGGTCCCTTTCATTATGCGGAGGCGCTTGCAAGATTCAACGAACATTCTGTAAAAGCCAAATGAAAAAAATGGGTTCGTGAGTCTTTCATAAAATAAAAATGGGTTTGTGAAAAATGGGAAAATGCTTACTCCCAGGGAACGTCGCCAACGAGCATCCAGTCACCATCTTTATCCTCATAGGTGGGAACGTAGTCAGAGCCATTCAGAAGATCCCTCAGCTTGCTCTCACTCGTCAAATCCTTCGCTCCTTGGGATTCACATCTTCCTTCAAACCAACTCATGAAAACACCACTTCCAATATTAAAACCTTGGATCTCACGTTTAGCACTAGCATCGACATGAACATTTACACACAAATTACAACAGGAATTTTACATGGGTACTCAAAGATACTTTGTCAATGTATGTCTACAACCATTCAAATTGAATCCATGTATGTCAATCTTGATGAAATAAATATTAAACTATTCTGGTTTAGGATCAATTTCTCCGATGATCAATCGCATACTGACATGCATGCGAGTTTTATTACCCCATCTTCTAGGTAAGCAGATTTCTGGCGGTATAAAAATCGGAATGAGACATTTGAAGAATGCTAAGAAAGGTGAAGTAAGGGTTGTTTCGAAATTATGCAGCTAATGTACTTTCATGTCATTTTTCTTTGGGTGACAAGTGAGATTTTGTGCTGGCTTTTTGCTAAATTTTAGTTTAGGGTATTGAAGAATTATAGGTTTGGTTTTTCTGGAAGCAAATGTATAAGAAGAAACCCTTTTGAAAATGAATGTAATGAGGATAATTAAGTACCGATGGTGAAGGAGCTGAACATCTTGCACAAGGCCTCAGACAGCTCTTGGTAGGTCCTGTACATCTTCAAGTCCACCTTACGCAGGTACGGCGCCCCGTCCATGCTCACCTTCACAAAGGAGGCTGCGCCACCGCTGCTCGCGTCCTCGGTGCTGCTCTTCTGCGCCGCCACCAGGTTCTTGCGGAACGATCGGACTGGCGGCCAACCCACCACCTGGGCCCTTGAAAGAGCGTGTGTACATGGTTTATTGTTATGAATGGATTTTCATCACAAGAAACAGTAAAATGGAATTCATGACTTGCTTGTACTTTCTCTGGAGCACTGTGCGATGTCAATCAGGAAGCGTGCATGACTGTGCAAGAAGATAGACATGGCTTCCCTCGTCTACAGTTATGTTGTAGTAAGGAAGAGATTTTTCAACAAGTTCTACCATTCTAGCGCTTCAATAATTTAAATAATGGGAACAGATAATTACTAAATTATCTGTATTTTATGCTTTTCAAATTTTACTATATGCTTAGTTACTGATCGAGAGACCAAATTTTGATCATGATTGAGATCTATATTACCTCACACTCTCTCTCTTTTATTACATCTTCATCCCCAGAAACTGAGAAATCCACTATTATCACTCGCAAACCTCCCCCAAAAATTTTAAAAAGAAAAGAAAAGAAAGAAGAAGAAGCAACACCGAGAGAGGAAAAGAAAAGCAGAAGCAAATCAAAGGGAAAGGAGAGACCAACACTCTTGAAAAGCCCTTGACACCAAAGGCAAAGAAGGAAAGAGAAAATGAAATCATGGTACATAAAGTAGATAATTTAACTTTAAGGAAATCACTAACTTAGCTGGAGGCTTGACAGGAATATCAGAAGTAGCGCAAGGCAAGAGGGTCTTCTTGTCCAGCTTGTTGGGCAACGAGTTGGTTTGGTCGTTTGGATCAGAGCCTGATGATGATGATGGTGGTGGTGGTGAACAGGAAGAAGAGAGATTGAGGTTGAGCTTCAAGTCCACCTCAGTCTCGGCATAGCATCTCTTCCTTGCCCCCACCACCACTTGGTAATCTGGTCCTTGATCAGATCCGGACCCTCCTCCATTGTTGCCACCAGGCAACCCCAGCCTCAGCTCTGTCTCTCTCTCCTCTGCTTCTGCTTCTTCATGCTTCTTCTTCTGATCTCTCTCTTCGCTCTGCATCAGCTTCCCACCCATCTTCAGTCCCACTTCCATCATTTCTCCTCTCTCTCTTGCTTTCTCTCTCTCTATGTGGTGCTTATATGGGTGCAGTTGCTCGGTGTTTCTTTTTTTATTGGTTGGTGTGCATGGTACCATGTGGACCGATACAATCTGAATCATTATTATGTAAGGATTGAAGTCTACATGATCAACGGTCCAAATGAGTTTAATCCATGTGGCTTGTACCAGTATACTTAAATTATTTTTTTATAACTTAAAAGCGTGAGCGTAAAATGGCTCATGAAATACCTTGTAAACTCTATGAACCGGTTAAATCCAAACCTTTGACATATGCCAATGATACCGATCTAGAATTTGTATGCAGTTAGTAGGATTGGAATGACTGAGCTAGAAATTTTCTAACGCCCTTATCAATTGTGCTAATTTTGGGAGTTAATCTACTGAATTGATATACTAAAATATCTTGATAGCTTATTATTGATGTTGATGTTAAATATGACCCACTTGTACAAAGAGGTTTATCGTTTGCCATATCACTCAATATATTGATTTAGTAGAACGGTCTCAATATATCCGAAATTACTAAATGTGTGTTGTAGAGTGTTCATTGTAATAAATCATTCTAATTGTAAATTTGTCATATAACGAGATTAGAATTCGACTTTACAAGAAAAGAATTTTATCTTTAAAAGTGCTCCGAAACTTATTATTTCTGCAATCAAAATTTTTTTTTTGGTCGAATGCAATTAAAGTTCAAATGACGAATTTTATACCTTTTTAATTAAAACAAGGTTATTGCACGAACAATGGATACTAATTAAGGCTTCGTTTGTTTCGCGGAAAATGTGACACTTCTAGAAAAAAAATTTCGGAAAATCATTTTTAGGAAAATGATAATATTTTTTGATGTTTCATTGAAACTTGAAAATAAACTGGAAAATATTTTCCATCTTTTGGTAAGGAAAATCTCATTTGGTACGAAATTGCTGAAATGAATGCCAACCGTCCTACGTGACACGGCCGTGCTGACGTAGACAAATTTTGTGATTTTTTAATAATTTTTATATTTTCTTTTCTTTTTCATTCTTCCTCCACCAGTTATCAAGCCTCGGCGACGGCCAGCGAAGGAATAAGGAAAAAGAAAAAGAAAGAAAAATAAAATAAAAAAATTACTAAGAAATTGTAAAAATTATTTACGTTAGCGCCAGCCATACCACGTAAAATGGCCAACATCCATATCAACAATTTTCGTGCCTAGCGTCCCGGACATCAATGTCTAAGGAAAATGATTTTCAATTTTTGAAAGAAGAATCATTTTCCTTAATTATTAACCCTTTATTATATTTTCCGTTACCATTTTCAATGTACACGACTTTTAGGAGGTAAAAGTGTATTTTCATCTAATTTTTTAGAGAGATCTCTCTTTTTCCCATGATTTCTTTAAAAAAGTCAAAAAAATAAAAAAAATGGAGAAAAATAAATTAATTGAAATATTAATATAAGAAAATAAATTATCAGTAATAGTATATTTGATGGATTCATTAATAGAACTAATAAGATACATAAGAAAGGAAACACAATTAAGTAAAGTTGAGAAAACCCAAATTACAAAAATCGGATATTCATTGTGTATTTGTAAGTGGTTAATTATGCAAAAAAAGAAGAAGAAGATTGGCATAGAAAAGATTTACAAAATTGTCGTTTAAATTTCGGTTAATCATTTCCTTTTATGAGTTGAGGACATTATATCTTTTTTTAATTGTTTTATATATATTATTATCAATCAATCCTTTCTTACATTAATTAACCCTTTAAATATATATAATGAGCAAGCAATTTTTGTCATCTGACATTTTTGTCATTAAGGTCTTTCCCTTTTCATCTTTAATTTTTTCATTCTTTTCCTTGAAATATTTTATTTAGTTCTGTTAAAATGGCTATATATTTATCAAATTTAAAACACTTATTATTATTTTTTGATAGTATCATTGATATTTATATACTATTGGTATTTTAATTAACTAATTTTTTTCGCATTTTGTATTTTTTTCATATTTTACTGCACTTAAGGGTAAATTAGAGATTTTTGTTATTGAGGTCTTTTCCCTTTTTATCTTTAATATTTTTCATTCCTTTCCAATGGCTATATATATTTATAACAGTTAAATAGTTTTTTTTATTTTTTTTGATAGTATCATTGATAATTATTATTTATACTAATTAGCATTTTAATTAACTTAGTTTTCTTGTATCTTGTATTTTTTTCATATTTTTCTGCACTTATGGGTAAATTAGAGATCTCTGTTAATAAATGAGATAAAAATATATTTTTACCATTTAATTTACATTACATGTGCTGATAGAAAAAATAACAGAGAGTTAACAGCTGTAACAGAATAAAAGTTAATGGGAGTATCGTATAACAATTGAAGATTAAAGAACAAGCATATCCTACTCCCAAAAAAGTTCAAGGGGAGTTTTATATAATATCCCCCTTTTTCTTTGTTCTTTTTAGCAAAAACTTTCTAGTTACTACCAATAATTTATAAAAGTAGAATTAGCGAGAATTAGCAAGATTCAACTTGCTCGTGCACTTTAACCAGATGAGCTATTAATAGTTCTTTTTCCCTTTTAAAAAGATTAATTTTAAACCAGACGCCATATATAGATATCAAACAAGTCTTTTGTTTTTGAATCAACATAGAAAAGAATAGCGATGAAATATGATTAACATAAGCCATGACTCGACCCGATCTCTTGGCAACTCTTAGCCAAGGTGGATTGTCTTGTGAAAATGTAATGGAATTATTTCGAGTTTGCCACTAGCTAATGTAATATACTCAAGCTAAAATCACTAGAAAAACTTAAAAATCAATGTTACCTTTTTATAGTGGAGACGAAATTGCATAAACTTTTGAACTCTTGTATTTATTGCATGAAATTTTATCTTGCTTTATTAGAACATTACCATAATCTCATTAAAAAAAATATCCGTTTTGCTAATATATTGGCTGTGGCTACTTATGGCCACTAATTTCTTGAAAAAATAATAGCAAATGTAACTTATGATATCTCAAAAAAAATTGATTATCAATTCCAAAATCTCCCCCTCGCACTCTCACCGACACCCATCCAGCACACTACCTCGGCCTCCATTGTTCCTCATCGCAAGGATCCGAATCGAAACCTAATTTTTGATAAGTGGCTCGAGGCTAAAGAGTGGTCAATTTGATTAAATTCCTCAATTTCACGAATTAATTCCTCGTATTTAATGTTCATATGGTCCATGGTGGGAACAATCAATCACCACAGATGATCATGTTTACATACATCCATACAACCATGGCAGCTGATCATAGTGGTATGTACCTAACCTAACTTCTCATCCATTTCATTTAATGTTAGGGTTTGACCGCCCACTGATTTCGAGCCAAGGAATTTGAGGCCATGTTATGCTGTCCCGAAGCATCTGTCGATCAATAATTTCAGCTATGTGGTCCATGTGACGATTCCATTTGCAGGAACTTAGAGGCTATGTATAACAAATGTTTTCCAAATCCAAGTACAGAGCTGCTGATTCATGATGGGCAGAAGTTAGATTATTGAGAACCAAGCTAATTAGAAAGGTTTCCAAACAAATTAAAAGAAATTAATTTGAAATTTTCTGTATTGGGTCCCAAATGAACTTTCGATTCAACGGGCTCTTCACCGAACCAATTTACGAGTGAGAGAGACTGAAACACTTGTCGACATTAAGCACTTCATCAGACATTAAGCACTTCATCGGGACATGTGTGTATATATATATATATTCTTTACGATTAGGATTTATATTACTAAAACGGATGAAATCTTTTAGGTATTATTTTATTCATTTTTCATTGATTTATTACATTTACATGCTCACTTTCTAGTATGTGTAAGAGAGCCGATAATTTTGCAAATAAAATTTATGTCCCAAAAAAGTAAAAAAGTCAATGTGAAAAGCATTTGTTTGTTTACTCTTCTTATTGGTGGGAGAACAGAGATCGCTAGCTAACAGAGAACACTAGCTAACTCACCCGACCCCACTTTTTCAAAATCGGCGGGCTCAATGCGGTGAGCGCCCTCTCGTACCGAATCCGGGGTCCGGTGAATCGAGCAAATCGTAACCGTCTAACACTAGTTTGCATGTGGAATCCGCGTTAGATCCGTAATTATCAACGGCCGTGATCCGCTACGTGAGGTCCAAGTCATGGGATTCCCGATGAAATGGGTTTTACCCATCCACGAGAGAAAAGGAGAATCTAAGGGCGCGCTTCTTCTGCGAAAGCCAAAGGATTTGCAAAACATTTTTCTTAAGAATGATCGCTTGTATCGCTTACAGAATTGAAAAGACGAAGAATATTTTCATTGTCCACGAGACGAGAATAACTAGATATAAATTGTTATCGATAATGGAGATATTTTTCATTGAAAATGTTCCGTTTGTTCCGCGAAAAACGAATAATTTTGAAAGCATTGTTCTTAAAAATGAATGCTCGTATCTTTTGGAATAATGAATCAATAAAAAAAAATACGAAAAATATTTTTATTACCGATTTTTTTTAAAATTTATTTATTTTTATAAACGAGAAATTAAAAAGGAAAAGGAGGTGGGGGGTTGGAAATGCGTGGGGAACCGCGGGTGGGCAATAGCATGTGGCGAGATTCACTCGATCGGGGCTTGCGTAAGAGCGGGGGGCCCCACGTGTGAACTGGTGGTATTGGCCCATGTGCGCCGTTGCAGGGCGTCCCACTTTTCAACTAAAAATACCCAAATTCTATTTTATGCACCAATTTCATGAAAATCGCAAATTATCGAATTTGAAAAATTATCTAAACAAAATCCTCCACCTATTATACGGCGACCATTTCAATCATAAGCTTTTCGATATGACCAATTTAATTCCGTAGCCTTTCGATAATTTGTCAATGTAGTTATTTCAGTATCGCTAACATGGCGATCCAGTCATTGCCAGCTGTCTCGATCCGGTCCTCGCTGACCGCCCACGTAAGGCCGCCGGTGTCCACGTCGGCAAATTCTAGCCAAAATTGGTTCGAAGGACTACATCGACAAATCGTCAAGAGGTTTACGACTAAATTGGCCAAATTGAACAGTTTAAGATTGAATTGGATGCCATACAATAAATTTAGGACTTTTTGGATAATTATCGCAATAAATTTTCCATCCCGCTTTAATACAATTTTCCATTCTCATATTCATTTCGTCCATAATACAAGAGAATCTCTGTGTCTCCCTGTCGACCCCTATCTATCACGATCTCCTGAGTATAATAAATGACCATAAGATTAAGTAATGCCATATTATACAATTAAACATTTCACTAATGTAATTAATTCTTTTTTTCCCTTCTTTTCCCTTTTTTCTCTTTGGGTGAAAAATAATGATGCAATGATTATCCATCAATTGAGGCACGTTACTTTATTCACTAGGTCGGTGATCATTACTACTTAAAGATACACAACAACACAAATCATTAAGAAAAGGAGTAGAAGAAGAATCGTTGTAAAGGGTCAGTTTGTTCCAAGTGGGTTCTGGTATTATAGCCCCTCCTCATAAAAGAAGTTGGTCAAACTCAAAGAGGAATCTTGATGTTCTAGAACCTCTACAAACTAATCTAAAAGTTAATAAGTTGTTAAGATGAATGAATAATTCAAAATTCATATCTTGTAATTCTCTCAATGTATATAAATATGGGATTGGCCTAAGATCAAAGGGCCAAAAGGATTGTAAAGAGAAGGTAAATGAGGATATTGTTAGCTCAACTAAAAGCGACTATTGGATCGAGGTTTGGTTAATATTTAAGTATTCTAACGAGATGGTGATGATGTTGACTGTGACCGATAGATAAGGTAGAGGAGCATCTCCGAGCAACGGTGATAACTCATTTCCATGATGCCCAACTCGTCAATCACGCATTTTGAAACTTTGCTCAATGCGACTAAATAATGTGATTGGCGGTATTATACTACATTCACCGGTAGGAAACTGTGTATTGGACCGCGTCAATTTGTTCAGCTATGTAAAACTGATATGTGGATTTTTCTATAAATTAATATTTTGAATAATTAAAAAATTTCGAATTGTCATTGTTATATGATGTAAGGTCATTTTATATATAACTAACAATATTATTATAATATCGAGGGAAGTTAACAAAAATATTTTAAGGAAGTACTTTATAGATAGAGTTACAAAAAGAAATGTTAAGTTTTCAATAATTACTAACTCACAATGCTAGAACTTATTGATGAGCATCCTGAATTTGCAATTTGCAGTTTGCACTCTTAAGAATTTTGGAGCAAAAAAAAAGAGACCCATTCCTGTGCATCCTTCATAAAAGATGAGGATGCAAATCATGAGCATTTGAAACTCCAGGATGTAAAATGTGGGTTTTCAAAACATTGAGATCTTCATACGAAGCTTCAAAAAATAAGAATTTAGAATGTAACAGAATGAAAAAGTCGGGTCGAATTAGTAAACAGCCCCAAACATTCGCACAATTATTAAAATTGAACTCGGATCCCTACCAAATGTCGAGTTTCGTATGAATCCATCAAATTTAGCCAGCAGTCCGAATTCATTTTAGTACACGTACGAAAGTGGGACTCCGAGTGACATGTCGAGCATTTTTGCTCATCATGCACGGTCCTCGTCGTGATCATCGACACTGTCCATAGACAAGAAAACGAGGACCAAGTGGGGGACGATGATAATGGCGGGGGGAGAAGCTCTTGTGGTCTTGGCCTCTTCCTTTGCCCAACTACCTTCTTGCTAAGCCAGAACGAGGCCAACATCTACTGTAGATGTTTGGGAAGTACTGATCATTTGATGTTTGCACCTCCCCCGTTCCCTTCCAATTTTTATCTTTTAGCTCGTTATGTTTCTACTTTACCATGAGGGTTATTGTACTTGCACTTCCATTCGCTGTAATATCCGGTGCGGCGCGCGCATCCCGGCTCCGCCTTCCTCTCTCTCTCTCTCTCCAGCGAATTTGTGTGGTGATGGACTCGACCAGGGGTTTGTCGACCATGTGTGACCTTCTATTTGAGGCCGCCCTAGATCGATGGTCCGTTCTTAGAGTGGAGCTAGGAGGGAGGGAGTAGTAGCCGGCGGCACCGAGGCGGCCAAAACCTTATTACATTATATCAAAGCAAAAGACGATACGTACAAATCTCTCCAAGATCAATTCCCTTGTCTGGCCACCCACCAGAGATTCGACTCGCATCTTATCTGATCCTCATCGGGTACTTCACGAAATCAGTGACCGCATCTCAAAATGAAAAGGGTTTATCTTAGGATTCGTCGTCGTCCAGCAAAATCCAGTGCATACCGAAACATGATTAGGTTAGACCGGACTGGCGAATGGGACAGAGATCGACATTATATGGAGACTTATAACTGGAGTGTAGGTGATAGAATCTCTCGCACGTTCCTCCAGTAGCTCAAGCTGATCCCGCGTAGTGGTCTGGGGACGGGGGACAATGGCTAGGAGGGACCCTACATGTCATCGTTTGGTCTATACAAGGGAAAGCGTGGGTGACTAGGATGAGCGTGTGTTGTGTCCGGTCAAAAGAAAGATTAATTTTGGTCTCTTGTGCAGCTATGGTGCGTTCAGCCCTTTGATCTGTCCAATTCCTCTTTCATTCCCTTGAATGCAAGAATGGTGAGAGCGTGTCGGTGTGGGCGAGTGCATTGAGTTATTAGTTGCATTTGTGGCACCTTTTGGTGGGCACAAGAGGATGGGATTCCAAGACTTGTTTGTGTTGGTTTTGTTAGGACCTTCGAAGGGGCAGTGGCACTTGCAAGAATGAGGAGTTTGCTTCATTGGCATAGAAATCAAATCCTTGTATTGATATTACAGAAGAGCGAATAATTCAAGAGCAAGAGGGAAAAATTGCACTAGACCGACCTTGTGCATGTGCTTTGCTTCACGAGAAGAGGAAAGCTTTGATCCGTTTGTTCAATCGAGTGCCTCAACTTTTTGTTTTTAGTCAAGTACGCGAGTTTTCTGAAGAGTCGATTGATGTGAGGCTCTCGATATGTTGACCACGGTGTCACGCGTTTTTTTTTATTTTTTTGGTGAGCTGGATCGTATACTTGGAGGACACTACAGTAACTTTCGACTTTTAATATCTAGCTAGACTTCGCTATGACTATTACTAAGACAAGACTTGGTAACGAGTTCATAATAACACCTATTGTGCATACATTGTAAGAGAGTAGAACGTATCATTAAAAGGTTTTCGATGGGTCTGAAAAGTGGTCTTTCCTCACGGGGTCACTTAATCAATGGGTGCCTTGAATCTAAAGAAGACTCATTAACAAAATCCTTTCTTGTTATGTCACGGAAATCAAGTGAATTCATATGGTTCCGATGCTACTACAATTACATTATAATGAAAGGGTTTGATTCCATGAGCTTGTGGGGGAGAAAGTTGTCATTCTCTTTCTCTTTTGCAATTGAGATAGAGAGCTCTTTCCAATCACCTCCAAAGCAAAGGCCGTTAAAGTATCACACATCGCATGTTTATGAATATATGACATCGCTCTATCAATAAATTTGAACTTTTTTTATAGGACTTTCTAATATGGTATCAAGACTTATCGGCCGATCCGAAGTTTTCGATTATAATAAATAAGGTCTTCAACAAATCGTATAGATATCTTCTTTTCTTTCATGTATAGTCTTAATTTTCGTTGTAGTTCCGCTTTTCATATGATAACATTCTCGTTTAATGTCATGGCAATCAGGCCCATAACAACCTTTCCTATGGCTTTTCCTAGTGTTGAGTCCACCTAATATTTCTAGGATGTGACAATTCTCTAGACATATTCACATTTTTACCCTTCTCACTCAAAGGAGTCATTGCGCCCTATTGACATAAATGAACCCATCACGCAACAATCATGAGATCATGTGAGTCCCAAATCAAGATCAATTGGCGTGTCTGCGACTCCAAGTGCGTACGATCAATCTCCTTTTGCTTGGCCCAATAAAAGCCGGTGCAATAGTGGACGGATCCAAAATTTGCCCACTCGAAGTCTTTAATGGCCAAATCAGAGCGCACGAGAATACAGAGTCAAATAAGAAATAGAATCGAATCCAAAGTCAAGATAATTGAATTTCCGAATCCCCACACTCTCTAGGTTATTTAGACCGACAGCATGTCGATTATAGCATTAATTATCAAAAATATTATTATTATTATTATTATTGTAGTTAAAAAGAAATGTACTAAGGCGCCCACCGAAATATTAATCGCGCAAAGATTTATTCGCCCCCATCCAATCAGGGACACCCACGTGGGGCGGGGCCCCCAACACCCCACACCGCACATGCCCCTTGCTCTCCCCTCCCCCGACCAGATCCGACGCCCCTCGTCCCGCCCCGCACCCCTCAAACCCCATCGCAGCCGTCCAGCGCCGGTCCACCCGTATTCAATTCCATCGGCTCCGCCTGTCCCCCCGCTGTCCCCTCCATGCACGGCACCGCACCCGAACGCTGCCCCTCCATCCGCCGGCAGCGCGATCTGTCACCCGTCCCCACCGGCCCCCCACTCCCTCCCCTCCGCCACGGAGAAAAGATTCTTTCCCTTAGCGCGCCCCAAGAAAAACAGTAATTATCGCCATCGCAGGACTTGGGTCAACGCGATGACGTGGCGCGTCCGGATTGGAGGGGTCGGGTCGGGACGCGTCTTTCGGGCGTCATGTGGTGGAGTGGTGAGGTTCGTTTGGGGCACGAAGACGAGGGGAGAGACAGGTAATGACCTCGAGACGGTGGAGATCCATACCATCGATCATCAACTCCAGGCCTTTCCTATTTATACTTTTGCATGAACAGACACGCCTCGTGGATCGAGCAGAAGGCAAGGGACTCATCAAGAACTCAGTGGGGGTGGTGTTTGAAGTCGGGGTTCTTCTTTCTCGAGCTTCGTCGTCCGTAGCTTTTCGAGACGCCGTCGCGTCGCGGTCGAGCCGAGCGATATATATTGGGGAGATCGGGATGGAGAGGTCTAAGAGCAACGGGTATGGCGAGTGTGATCAGGCCAACCTGAAGGCCACTGAGCTGAGGCTAGGGCTTCCCGGGACCGAGGAGGACCCGCCGTTGAAGCTGGAGTCTCCCGCTTTCAATAGCAAGAAGAGGGCTTTAGCAGATGATGAGGGATCAGCCTCCAAGGGCAATCCTGGCTCTGGTGTCCCTCCCCCTTCAAAGTGAGCTCTATACGCATCGTCTATACGTTCGACACTTAAAAGATTTTGGTGCGATATTTGAAACTTTAGCAAGATCGGTGATAACGTTCGGTGTGTGTGGCTATTTTGCAGGGCGCCGATAGTTGGGTGGCCGCCTGTCCGGTCGTACAGGAAGAACATGGCGGCGACGAAGAAAGCCGAGATAGCTGAGGGTGTCGCAGGGGCTGGCTTCGTGAAGGTGAGCATGGACGGTGCTCCTTACCTCAGGAAGGTCGATCTCAAGACGTACAAGAGCTACCAGGACCTCATGGAATCTTTGGAAAATATGTTCAACATCACCATTGGTAAGAACCGCATATACATTTCGACATATATGCAGTAGATTTTTCATTTTTTTTAAATTTGGTTACGATCTTATGATGTTCTAAATAAATTTGGTTACACATATCGTTGTATTTCACAGGTGATTACTCGGACAAGGGGTCTGATTATTCGCCCACCTATGAAGACAAAGATGGGGACTGGATGCTTGTTGGAGATGTTCCCTGGAAGTAAGTATTTTCTTTACATATTATCCTACCCTTTGTTCGATTGTTTCTTTTTTTAGGGTTTGGCATGGCTATTATGCTTATCAGAATGACAATATTGACTCATTTGAACTCTTCTTCAATTTGATGAGGCAGTATGTTTACGTTCACGTGCAAGCGACTCAGAATCATGAGAGGTGGATCCAGAAGCAAGACATACATAACATAGCCATTGAAGCTTCTGTCGATTGTTTTCAAGGTTGCTGTTTAGATGATGCACGGAGAAGACACTAATAACTAGCTGAAACCAGGCGAGACCGAACCCAAGAGAGCGATTTTGGGTCGCGGAGATCTGAAGCTGCCATGCAATGGTTTCAGTCCACTTCGGCTTTTACAGATTTATTTTTACCAAGACATGTGTACAAGGTCTTGAGATTTGCCAAACTGTACAAACATAGGGTACAGACACAGATCTAGTCAGATTCTTGTTGTCCAAATTTTCTTCTCAATAAAAGGAGAAAAAGCACTTTTCTAGACTGGAAAACTCCCGTTTATCTTGACATACTCCGCAGAGTGCGGAAGACATTCCTTAAAAAACGACTTAAGACTTTTGCAATTATCGACGGCCATCCTTGCCAACTTGGTTTCCCAGTGAAACTCCATATTTTTTTTCCCTATGCTTGATGTGGTGTGTTCGTTATTTTACTAAGCGGTGAATGTAAGAAAAGTTGAGTGCAAAATAAAACTGATTCAAAGTTTGGAACGATAGACCGCACGCTCAATTCAACCGTTGTGCACATAGCCAATGAATATAATTACTTTCGCAATATGTGGAACGATGATGATTGTGCCAAAGTAATCATCGATCGCGACATGTTCAAATGCTTGCATATCGAAAAGTTGATTTAGTTTGCTCACTTTTACTCAAGTATTGTCCTACGTACGAAAAGTTGTTGGCGAGTTTCGTCAATCAATCTCTGTTGATCGAATCTTTCGCCAATTCTTCGCAGCAAAATTGATTCCTTTGTTCTAGAACCCAATTTATCATAATTTAACAAGAGCGGTTACTCAAATTAAGTAGTCTGATTTTTCCTTTGACTCGCTATCTTTTGCTTTTCTCCAAATTTCTCTCTTTTATTTTGCCCGGATGCATTTTCCAGATGCAGATCAGCCCGTTTTCCGTATCGGTCCCATCTGCTATCTCCAAGCACGAGATGACAACACGTGAGCACTCTATTTGTGCTCATCCAACCCCAAATCAAATCCTTTCAGCCATCTCTAGAAACCTTTTCCTTTCTCTTTCTTCCCCTCTCTACCCCACGCCTCAGCCTCTAGTTTTTTGCTTTACCATGCTGACTCTACTGAAATATATATACGAAAAAAACCCTCGACGCTCTGTCCTTGTTTTTCTTTTTTTTGTCCTTGTTTGCACGTACAAAAATTTAGAGGACTCGAAAAATTACAAGAGAATTCTCAAAAGGCTTTTGATTTGTAGAAAACTAAAACTAGAGTTACTACAAAAACCAACGAGTCTCGACTCTCTCAAGACAAAATACAGGAAGGTCCGAGTTGGAGTAATGGACAGTAAGGAGCAGTTGTACTCTACAATCAGGTAGCAGCGTCGACGTTCTTGCTCCTAAACACGATGACCATTTCCACTCGATATCTATCAATCAAATGTGAATTATGAAGTAAAGATATACATAATCGAAGCTCTTAAACCCTTACGGATCTCTCTCTCTACTCTCTCCGCTCCTCCGCCGATGATCCCGGTGCCGCTGCTGACCTCCACCGCACCGGCGCCGCCGACGCCAACATAGGCCGTCGGTCTCTCTCTCTTTCTCCACACAATAGAAAAGAGACTTGTGCTTTGGATTTTTGGATGTGATATTGTTACCTATGCATGTTAATTTTGTGGGAATTTGACATAATGGTCTTTGAATTTTGGCTTAATGTGCAATGTGATCCCTAAACTTTGAATTTGTTCAATATAGTCCCCGAATTTTAGCCCAATGTGCAATGTCGTCCCTTAACTTTTAAATTGTTCGATGTGGTCCCTAAACTTTTTGTGCATGTTCAATTTAATCCATGGACTATATGAAAATTTCCAATGTTGTCACTGAACTTGAATTACCGGAAGGATACTTAATATCGAGCATTTTCATATAACTCGGGGACTAAATTGAACATATACCGAAAGTTCAAAGACCACAGTGAACAAACCAAAACTTCACGGACCATATTACGTATTGGGTTAAAGTTCAGAACCTATTCGTGTCATCATCCCTGATTTTGTTTGTCGCATGACATTCCAATAGCAACACAAAAACACCCGACCCATAAAGAAAGAAGAAAAAAAAAAGGGACCGAAGTCGAGATCCGATGGGCCGGACTTGACCCGAAACCGGCCCAATTGAGAAAGCCCGTTTTCCTCTCTCTCTTACTCTCATCGGAGACCTCAAGACATTTTCGGCGTCAGCTCGAGCAACAATCCCCCCCCTTTCTCTCTCTCTCTCTTCGTCGTCGTCGTCTTCTTCGCTCGGCGCGGTGACCGGAAAGCTTCCTCCGACAATGCTCGCTCGCCTGGCCACGAAGCGCCTCCATGAGATCCGCCAGGTCCTTCTCCGTCAATCCCCTCAGGTTCCTCCTCCTCCTCCTCCCGATTCCCTTTCCCCTCTTTTCTTCTCGACGAAATCCCTCCCGATTCCGCCGCTGATCGATGTTCCGTCCTCCGTCACTGTGGTTTCTCGTCAGGTTTCTCGGCCGTTCTCGACTGCTCTGAACTACGTGAGTTGATGTCCGACGTGTTTTTTGAGGTTTTCTTTGTGTTTGTTTGAGTCGATTCGGTGAGCGGTTGGGACTGTGCGGCTGATGAGTTGGGATGTTTTTCGGGCGCGTGACGCAGCACCTTGATTCGCCGGATAACAATCCGGACCTGCCGTGGGAGTTCTCGGATGCCAATAAGAACAAGGTAGCTCCGATTACCTTCAGTTTGTGGATTGTCCCGATCAATTCCCCTGTTTCTTTGTGTTAGACCGGATGAAGTTAGTGTGCAGGTGGACCCAACTTGAGTTCCTGTTTCCTTTTGCTATATTTTTTATCAGTCTTTTCGGGTATGGGAGTGGGCTGTTAGATAATATGGTTTAAAATCTTCATTACCTTGGTCAAATTTTGAAGAAATGAGAGGACTTTCCTGTTGAGGGAGAATGGAGCGAGTCTTATTGTAACATCAGAGATTTAGGATACGTTGTTTCGTGTGGCCGTGTTGGGGTTCCGGGTCCTTGAGCTATGGGCTCATCGAAGACTTCATATGCATATTGGCATGAGGTGCCAATAATGCATGGAACCTGCAATTCGCTACTTCTACTAGATTCTGCGTCCAGTTGTATCTTGTGGGTACCTTTGACACGAAATTCTAAGTTCTATGTGCTTGACATAAATGACCTAATTTATGCTTAGAACTGTCGAACTTCTGGCAATAAGCTTTAATAGGACGAGTGGTGATTCTTGGACTCTGTGGAAAATAGAATGCATTAGCGTCCTTTATACTAGTCATTGTTGTGCTGCATCTTCGCGGGAAAGCCATTGCGATACAACGTCAATTGTGAAAGTTTGCAACCTTGAATCTTCCTCTGATGCTTCTGTTTATAACTGATTATTCCAGAAAAAAAGACGGCATTATATAACTGGATGAATGTAATTGGAGGGGCTTTGCACCTTATACCTTCTCTGTTGATGCAATTCCTATAGGCCTATGTCATCATACGTAGTTCATAGGTGTTTCCATTTGAAATTTGGGGAGGCAAGGGAGTTGGAGCATTTTTGTGCTGCTCGCGTAATTATTTAGGCCTAACAAGAAGAATGAAGAACTGTGTACTTTTCCACTGGTTTCCATTTCAAAGCAAGTGCCATTGTAGATCTTCTTTTGCGACATAGAGATGTTAATATTGCCAGCAATAGCATTGCCTTTCTCCAATTACCATTTGGATTGGCTCACCCCATAATTTTGATGGATGTTGAGCCTTTTTCTTTTCTGAGGTTCGTTTCTTGCTAATAATTATTCCTTGAATGGCCATAAATGATTCGTAACTTGTAATGATCCATTGGGATGCCATCAATATATCTTTATATTCATTTTCTTAGATTGTTCGCTGATTGGAGTCCAAAATTCGCCCATGCATCTGTAGGTTAAGGAGATATTGTCTCACTACCCATCTAATTACAAGCAATCGGCTGTTATCCCCCTGCTTGATCTTGCACAACAGCAGCATGGAGGGTGGCTTCCAGTTTCAGCAATGAATGCGGTATGCTATCGTTGATTCACAAAATGTCTACATACACGTATTCTTTAAGATTTTCACCTAAAGGAGAGTCAATTTGGTCGCTCTTTCGAGAGGTAAGAGTATATTTGACATTGTGTCAGGTGTATGTGTCTGCTAATATCCCTAGAGTGATGAGTTCAATCTATCAGAAATAAAAAATCCCTAGAGTGATGAGTTCATGAGATGTGTCTTTATGCACATAGCTTTCTTTTACACCTGTATCTTTTTTTTGTGACATGATCTTGAGATTTTTTTTTCATGCTTCTCTTTTTTTATATCATGATCTTGAGATTCTTTTTTTCGTGATCATGGTAAGCTAAAGCCATTGGTAGGATTTGTAATACAAGTATCAAGATTATAGAATTCAAACCATGATGTTTCTTTTTCTCTTAGATTTTAGACTGTAATGCATTGAATGTTGTATTATACAATCTAGTTGGAACAAGAGGTGAAAGGCAATCACCACAGGAAGCAAATATCACATTCCAGTTCTGTATTTTACTGAAAATTCTGGGTTCTGCTTGTCAAACTTGAAGGTCATGTGCTTAGATGCATAATAGGACGCCATCTTACGTATTTTCAACTATGTTTATTATTTAACTTGTTTTTTTTTTTCCGTGGAGGTAAGGTTCAAAGTTTGGAAGTTTCTCAAGTAAAAGTAAGGGCTCATATTTCTTCAAAAAGTAATCCATCAAGCTAACTCCTCCAAGTCCAGTCACTTTTGATGATATGGACTTGGCAGAATGTTCAAACTTTTTTTCTCAAACTCAATTTTGGAAAATGTTGATTATGTTGTATATACTTTTTTTGAATGTCAATTATTGTCAGGACTATATGCTTCTGTAAAATCCATAAATCTTAATGTCTGTTAATCATTTGTTTATACGTGTGTTGCTACATTGGTAGTTTGTTTGGTGCGTCTCCTGTTGTCTGGTCTATGGGTGTTTAGATGATTCATACCAGATCTGGATAGCCACTATCTAATTTAATTTATACCCTTACACATAAAAAGGTGAAAAAGAGCACAGTTTCCTTGATGTGCCTTGATCGATAAGCTTACACATTGGTGAAGCATAGTAATGAAGATTACATGTTCACCCAGAATTTGAAGATCTCTACACAATCATGTTGCAACTATCAATAGTCAGTACAGTTCAACCTATGATATATTAGGATGTTTTTGAGCTGGCAAGGATCCACAAAAGAATGCCTATCAGTTGTAAAAAGAAAAGCCGTGCTGGCTTGTTTAACAATCTTGTGTATATGTTTTGAAGTCTTAGCAGTTAGCACAGATGTACTAACTATCGAGGCAGTTTCTCTTATACAAACATGTGCTCAACAGTAGAAGTAACTACGAGTTCCCCTTTGTTTTTCCTTGTATTTGTTGATCTTTCCGGTTCTCATTTCATTTTTGTGATGTGTACCTTTGGGCCTCAATCTCGTTGGCCAAAGATTAGGTTGTAAAATTTTTGAACTGATATGTGTTGTGCTATTGCTTATTTGACATTCATGCTGTAGCCTACCACATTAAGTTGTTTGACTAAGTCAAGAGAAGTGCTTGAAGGAAATGTTTTTCTGAGAAGAAGGGAACTGCTTTTATGCTTTTAGCTCTGTCACGTGGAAAGGTATTTGATGTTTAGTTGTCTAGTATGCCAAAATCTCTTGCCGGAAGCATCTTCTTGAGTATGAATAGTTGAACACTCCATCTGTTTATGGCATACATAACCTGAAGCAAGAATTTTGCCTATATACACAGTGGAGTGAGTGTACAGCTGCACTGAGAAAAGGCATAACCCCTCTTTATACAGCATCTATGGGGTCTTTTGTGTTTCCAGTAAAAGTAGCAAACAAGTACCCAACTTGTTTCTGCCAATATAAGAAAAGAAGAAGAAAAAATGCTAGCATTCACACACACCAGTGCTCAAGTCACTTGCGAGAGAGGGTCATGAGATCGTACCAATCGCTGCTTATTTCCAAAAGCTTGCATAGTGTTCTTTATTGTGCTTAGTTGCCTTATCTCATACTTGCTCTCTTACCCCTAAAATTTTATGTGCCCCGGTGTATGGTTCAGCATATACGAACTTTAGCTATCAAGTCTCTCTCTTGTTATGCAGTTACTTGACAGTCTTGCCCACGTCTAATCATACAGATTTAATGCTTTAATGCTCATGGAAAAACATGATTTATGTTTGATTATGTACCTATGAAAATTATACTAGTCAGATAAGTTTATTATGAATGTGTTTTATTGGTTCAGGTTGCTAAGGTCATAGAAGTTGCTCCTATCCGTGTGTATGAAGTTGTAACCTTTTATTCAATGTTTAACCGGACAAAGGTGAGAAGCAAAATCCATGTGTGCCCTTGAAATCACAACTCGTCAATACATCATCTTATTTTATGCTGTTGTAGGTGGGCAAGTACCACCTGTTGGTCTGTGGCACGACCCCTTGCATGATTCGTGGCTCACGTGAAATTGAATCAGCCTTACTGAAACACTTGGGAGTGAAGCGCAATGGCAAGTCTTATGCAATGCCATGATATTCTACTAAATATAGCAAACAATCATTTATTTGATGCCATAATAATATCAAGAAACCAACAACTTCCCTGTTTTCTTGATGCGCAGAAGTGACCAAGGATGGTTTATTCTCTGTTGGGGAAATGGAATGCATGGTCAGTATATGTTTACTTCTTTACTGATTTTACCTGTATCTTATGGAGAATTATATGTAAGTCTGGTATCAGTTTTCTATTCAAAGAATAGCGTTTTCGCCAGCTTGTATTTTTCTTGATGAGTTATGCTGCTTTTATGCAGTTGAAGATTAAAAGAATAAATTGTTTGATTTGCTTTTTGGGCAGGGTTGTTGTGTTAATGCTCCCATGATAACTGTTGCTGATTACTCCAACGGATCGGAGGGATATACTTACAATTATTATGTAGGTTCACTGTAGTTTTCATTTGCTCAAGTAATTTGAACGCTTGAGCAAGTGTTCCTTATGTCACCACTTTGTTATATCTCATTTTGCAGGAAGACGTCACTCCTGAGCGCGTGGTTGAGATAGTCGAGCTGTTGAGAAGAGGGGAGAAGCTACCGGTAAGAGATTCACTTTTTTCTTTAACTTGCTCTTAGGTTCTGCATCTTATCTACCTTTGTATAGTTATAGTGGAATAATTTACCAATGGCGTGTCCTTGGATATTCTAATCTCTCATTTGGTTTTTTTTTTTTTCACAGCCGGGCACTCAAAATCTGAAGCGCATCAAGTGTGGACCAGAAGGAGGGAACATGACTTTGCTAAGCGAGCCAAAACCTCCTCCGTGCCGGGACCTTGATGCATGCTAAATCTGCTGCAATTTGTTCTCTCAACAATAATGCAAGGCCAAAATGTTGTTAGGGCCCCTTTGTACCCCTCGTTGATTTTGCTTTACTCTCATGAGTGTATGGCGCACCAGAACCGTTTCTGGTTTACGTATTATTCCATGGAGTCGCATCTCCTTTCGAGATACTACTGTTTTGCTGATGTGAGATGATGGGAGGAGGGTAATTTCCTTTCGGACTTGCTTTCCACATGCTCGACATACGAAGGCGATCCCCAATTACGCTCGACATTGCGCATCGGCAATATATGTAGCCTCGGTGGAAGATACTGACGTAAAAGCCACATTATCCAGCACCAAAGGGAAAGAACATTGTTCTTTAAGGGGGAAGACTACTATCAAAACAGTTCTACATCTATTATAATTTTGTCAATTCATTTTTGAATCTTTTTCTTTTTGTCCCAATTCGGTTTTAAATTTTTTGCATTTGTGTCAATTCTACTCATTCGGCCAATTTTGGTAGGCCGGTGATGACAAGGATGCTAGCCGTCCGGCCAACAATGACGCGGTAATTTTAAAATATTTTTTTATTTTTTCTTCTCTTTTCCTTTTTTTTCTTTTCTTTCCCTATTTTTTTGTCCATTCATCTTCAACTTCTAGCCAATCGCCGATCCAGCGACCGGCCAAAGGTGAGGGCTAGCGAGGTCGGCCCCGCCGGTCGTCAAGCTCAATCTCGTTAGTGGCTGGCGAGGATCGACCTCCCCTGTGATGGCGAGGCTCGAACTCGCCGGCAACTAGCGAGGTCAGCCTCGCTAGTGGCTAGAAAAGAAAAAATAAAAAAAATTCTAAAGAAATGCAAATCAATTTACAATAGCATGATCAAAGGAGGTTTATAGGATACGAGCATCTTCTCCTTTTCACATACATTCGATTCTTCTTTCTTGCCTAGGGAAAAAGAGTTGCCATTTTCTTGGAAACGTTTTCTACCTTTGCATTTCACATTGAAGTCCATCAAAAGTAACCCAACATGTGGACTTGTCATATATCTTAGTAATCTAATCACCCCACACAGGAAACCATCCCAACGATCCACTTATCCAAAACAGAAAGCCTTTTTGCGAGTCGTAAGGTACTGCACATACGCATCTAAATTCAAATCCATATATGGCCGCAAATTTACAACACAAATCATCACAAAATCACCCCATGCGTGCGTCCACCTTAATACATGGTCTAGAGACAGAATCGTGATCTATGATGATGCACCTTTTGAAGCATGAGATTTTAACATAGTAATGTCCCGTGTCTGTACATCCTTTTAACGGGCCAAGGCAGCCAGATTCCATAAAGTTTTCATGTTCCCTCCAGCCTACTAGATGCTCTACACAAAAGGTTCAGTTCCCAGTCTCACCAAATAGTATCCACCGCACAAAAATTGATGGCCCACGTCACACAGATGACTTGAAAGGATATCAATATCACAATCTAGTTGAATTTCATCTTGCAGAGTTAGAAAGTGAAAAGCATCATAATTACATTATATAAAGGGAGAACTATTTTTCCAGCTCTTGAGGATATGATTATCAGCCTTCAGTCCTATGGTCAATCAGAGTTAGTTATTGCCCCCGCGCAATCATGAATCAGAGGAAGTGTCTAAAGCTCCATATATTGAAATATAGAGAAGTAAAGTTGGGTCCTCCAGTCTACCGAACACTATTGTTGAATCTTTCCAGTACCGGATTGAAGATTTGATTGTACCTTGCTCTGAAAATGAGCTTCCAGCCTGCACGTCAAGTAAATCATTTCATCCGACATAAAGGTTGACGAAAAACATAGCAAAAGAGGACTGTAGTAGTTTACCTTGTTGCACATTTGTAGTAAATTGTCTCAGGGGAATTGTAGGTGCGTGCATTTAAAAACATCCTTTTGACATCTGCAATGAACATCTCGAGTGTAACATAATATTGCTCTGAATCAACCCTCTTGCTCATTGTCTTTAAATCTGCAAAACCATGATAAGTTGTGAAACTATTGCGGCTCAATAAGTATATGCATGGACAATTTTCATATGCCGCAGTGAAGAGCATGAGGAAAATACTTGAATTTGCACTTCCCACGAAAGTTTGACAGCATTATGTCTAAGCTGAATTTTCTTAAATCTGATGAAATGGCAGGCTGGCAGAACCTTGCTCTAGCAGCTGCGGATGTTGGGCTAATTCCAGTTAGGTCCAACCTGTAAACTAAACTACAATTTGCAGAAGGGAAAAATTCATGACAAATTTGTCAGACTAGAACTACCCTGCCCGGACAAGGTTGGATCTTAGGCGATTTCCTCTACCCAGTTCTTCAGCATAACACCCCTCTGGGAACCCCAATCCCGGATGCACATCCTAGGTCAGGTGCTTTAGCGATGGGGATCGTCATGGTGCGCTGTGTAGATAACCGAGCATGGAAACAAACATTGCAGCCTCAGATGATGAGCCATCATGGCAGAGGGCAAAGTAGCCACTGCTACCATGCCCCTGCCCACTTGTTTCTCGAAAAGAGATGGGAAAGAGGCTCAATACATCTAGCTTCGTTCAAGCGACGGATTCTGGCCAATTGACTTTGCCACTAACTTTGCAATAAGGAGCAAAATGGGCAAGTTGCTTGAACCAAAAAATCAATAATTGCCCAGCTTATCATCATTGAAGCTATCTAGCAGGACTATTGCAAGAGGAAGAAAAACGAACACCTCAATGTAATGTAGAAGAGTGGAAAAGGAAAAGCAAGAGGAATTATTCTTAAAAGTTTAGCCCATGGTCTAGTATAGGATTTACAATAGTAAGTAAAATCCCGGGCATTGTCATTATGTTGAATTACGCTGCAGGTGGTTTGACTACTGTAACACTTGAGACAATTTTATTTCTTTTTTCATGAAAACAAGCGTTTTTTTCCTGGATTCGACCAGTGGTAACACTTCACATCAGCCTAGACAACACTTTGGTGCTATATTTAGCCCCCTAGACTACATGTTCCAACACATGTTGCAACAAAAAACCAAAGAGCTGTACCCCACATGTACCACATTTGTAGCCAGTGTAATACCATGCTCCTCTACCCATAACTCGACCTTTAGTGTACTGTGCATCATGCTTCAGGTAACTCTGCGCCCCCTAAAACTATATATGCTTTGTGTATGAACTGGCGGAACAGACCAGGAATATGACTCAGCCCTGCCAAAAAGCTAACGCATGCATTTGGGCAACCGGACAAGAAGCAGTTCCAATCTATGCACCATAAAAAGAATGAACACAAATATCACGACATCTATCGCCATGCACTACTGTTACATGAAGGCTAATTGCTTAGCGAGCATCCAGTTCCATGCTGCTCACAAGTGAATAGAATTGGCGAGACATCCCCATCAAATGCAATTCCGGCGTCTCATACACTATAAGCAGTAGTAGAATTCTCAATTTTAGCTTATGCATGCCATCATGAGCATACAAGAGATTGTATGTATGGACATTAAATGCAAGTTCAGGTAAGGAAATACATTTATCAAAACATAAGTTAATAGCTTATCCAGGTTCTCACCCATAGGATCTTTAATTATGTCATAGTAATCTGGGACCTCACGAGCATCAACCGGTTCCTTGAATGGCCAGGCATCAACATGGTCATGCATTGCCTGCTTTTCATAAGATATGTTAAAGATAACTACAACACCAACACCACCAGCAAGGCAAGATGATAGTCGATGAGATTTATGAAATATGCACACTGACAGCTGACCAGTTTACAGAGTGGTGCCATGAAGCAAACTGATAGAAAAACAAAGAAAGCTCACTGCTTGCCTTCAGAAGTTGGCGCATAAAGAAAGTCAACCGCTTTTGATCACTCAATCCTCTAAACCTAGAATGGCCCCACTGATCAGGTGTCCACCCGGCCTCCCCTAGAATCAGATGCACCACAAAATTAGTATCCCGAAATGCTCATCTAACAATCTGAGCATAAAACATCTTCAAAAAAATGACTCAAGCTGAATAAATCATCGAATGAATAAATAAATTGAGCATCTTTGTCGACTGATGTTGTATATGGTAATAATCAAAGTGAACATCAAACAGAAATCAACTACAAGGCAGTTCATTGTTCAGCATGTGGAATTTGGTAAAAGAGTATTTAATTTCATCCATGACAGTATGGCACTAGTAAACTCGTATGAATATTTGGTGGGAGAGGCTCTCGCATTCAGGAGTTTCTGTAATTCTCCTTCCACTGCTAATTCATTCATTTCCTAAACCACGTGTATACAGGAGTTTCTTTAATTCCTTAAACCTCTCTTACTTTAAAATCCATATTCTCATTTACAGTGACCAAACAGATTTTGAGATGGCCGTAAAGGGGAATAAAAATATAGTTTTAGAAGTTTATTACTAAACACCCGGCTGTACCCATGATAATGGGAAAAAGCAAACGATTCCCCATTATAGATATCATCTTATTATAGGAAAAAAATTGACATGCCAAATTACATCTGGTGAGAACTATTGAATCTCATCAAGACAAACAGTACCAAAACATATAATGCATGTCATTCAAGTTTTCAGCTCATGAACCAACCTACCACGTCAAAAATGATTGATGAAAATGAAAGGATGATAAGTGTGAGGAAACGAGCCAACTGGAAAGTAATTAAAAACTCAAGGAACTCACTCAAGCCAGCGATTTCCTCAACTTTGACGGATTTTTGGGGAACCCCTGCATCTTTCTAAGCAAAGAACTTATCTGATCAGAATCAAGTTCAGAAAGATATACAATGCACAAAAATTTTAGCCGAACTAAGAGAACAAAAGAAAAGATGCAGACACTAGGAAAAGGCTTTATCACTATCAACCTGGATACTATGAAACAAGGAAGGAAAGCAAAGAAAGTGAATTAAGACTTCCAATTTAAAGTGACCTGACTAGCCATGATAGGCGTGATTACTTTCCAAAGCTGGATACTTGACTACTAGAGATGGGAAGCAGCTCCAGGACTTGGTTTTTAAAGATTCATCCGATTGCAACTGCAATCACTATGTTGCAGTTTCATGTTAAAACTCCTCCACCTCATACATCTCAATTATCGAGAATCTTCTTTTCCATGCTTAGAAGTTTATCGAAGAAAGTGAATACATTGAGCATTACAGGGAAATCATAACTCATAAGTTCATAACAGGGAGTATCATGGTTTTACAATTGAAAGAACATAGCTCTCATGCATTAATCAAAGTAACACGGAAACTTGAAATGGTGAAATTGCTTTATAACTCTATCAATTACCTAATAGCAATATTGATGCATCTTCACGTCTTAAGGTACGATAACATGGTACTTAAAAGAGTAGAAGTGATTTCACTTTATACCTTCTGGAAATCGATCCCCTGGTAGACAATATGACAATTAGAGAGTTCCCTTATCTTTTCATCAATCGCCTACCAAAAACAACAGTATAATAACATGATCAACCTACCAATTTAAGAGTCATAACCAGCTTCTTGCAGTAATATAAAGATCCGGACTTCAGACGATATTTAAATCAAATGAAGAAAATCTGGACTGACAATGCTAACATGTCAAGGCAATGAAAAGTAAGACCGAATTTCCTAGCAGGTCGCTAAAAGAAAGTAAGAAAAGTTTCACATGACTGCAAATGATACATTGAAGCCATGCACAGGCCCCAGTGATGTGATATCATTCTTTACCAACTACAGTACTCACAGAATTTGGAAGTATACAAAAAGTGAGAACTTTCTCTCATGTACAGTCAGTTCTCATATTTAATGTCACCATTAAGCAGAGACAGCCTGAACAGACATGTATCTGAGGATGTCAAGATCAAAACTGAAGGAGAATGTGATTACTGCCATGTGTAAATCAAGAAAATGAGCAACTTGGATTATTGGTTTGTGAGGAATGCACAAGCATGGAAACGATAGCCTTTGAGAAAAGATGGGTGGTATGGAAGGACTTGAAGGGAAGATGAATTGGAACTGCAGGGGGAGTGGAACTCACTCTAACAAAACTACAATGCTCTTGTTTCAGACAGGAGAATGCAAAGAGGTATACATCATTTCTCTTTGAAGCTAAGTGGTGAAGGCTAGTGTTGTCCAGTTGTCTTTTTGCCATCCATTTCCCTAAACCATATCATAAGGAAAGATGCCTTTGCTTAGCAAGCACGCAAATTGAATAGTTTGATGCTCAATAACTTAGATTGCTTCAAATAAATTGCTTTTGCAGATGGAATATGCATCAACTCACCCTTTACTCATCCTAATTGTATGTGCACATGAGTGCGTGAGAGAGAGAGAGAGAGATTGTTGCAGTTATATGAATACAAACACTTCAATTAATGAGCCTCAGATACAATATACAGCATTTAACCAATATTTGATTCATGATATATGCAGCAATTTCATGGGGAAGTTAGTACTGAATGAATATTCTTATCACTAAAATACCCCTCAGATCATGAATGGTGCAAAAATAGTTAAAAGAAGCCTCATCTATACTGTCAAGCTTTCACATAATAATTGACCCTTAGAATCTTCTTACAAATTTGTTGAGATGTTCAATTTCCTGGATATGACAATTTATCTAGGTAAGCCACAAATTTGGGATTATGCAGACCATATTTTCTATTATACAACTAAATCAACTTATCCAGGCTGCAATTATCTCCTGAAGAGATACTTCTCTGAGCTATTTGAGTTTCAACCGGAATGCAGTTGCTCTTCCCCCTTAATAAGTCCTGGAAAGAATAAATGTCATAAACGGAGCAAACAAAATTTTACCTGCCTTTGACGGCGAATCATGGTTGATAAATCTGTATAAGGAAGTTTGGGATCAATTTTGCATTCCATAAGAATTCCTCCATCATAATCTTTAATATACCTGCAACACCAGCAGAAGACAAACTAAACAATTGCCCACCACTTTTTTCTCTTATTGAATTTATGGCATGTTTGGACCTAGGTTCTGAAACTCCCGTAAATAATTGAGAAAATAGTGAGATGTGAAAGTAAAAAAGACACAAAACATGGCAATAGTTAGAAAATTTCATATGTGATGATACTACAACACGTACGTGTGAGCACACTTCTTTTTCTTCCTTCAAATATTCCTATCTGTATTTATTGAAGTGGACGGATGTAGATTGCACATTTATGAGCATGGATGGTAAACAAGAAGGACAGAAGAGATGATATATGAAAATGATTAAATAAAAACTTTTGCGTGCGAAATATATTTGTGTGCCCAGTTAAAAACAATGCAATAAATGGTTTCCAAACTTCAATTAATCTAGAGGGTATGAAGTATCACCCGTGCCATCGATCTTTATCCAGGTATATCTTTTTCGTGAAACCCTGCACATGTAAAAAAAACACTTCCATCAGCTATAAAACAAATTATGAATACCTGAAGTACCAGAACATCAATTAATTTGCAAACAATCTGAAGCATGTTGACAAGAATTAACAAAAACAAAGCATCATATGTAACAGAAATCAAACTACCATGGTCAACGGCTTCTATAATGATACATAGCAGCATAAAACACAAATCAAGCAAAAGAGAATGACCCAATCAAGATGAAGGTCGTCATGATCTTAGCACAGTGGCAATAAATCTGTTGCTAAGTCCACCATCCTAAGACACAAGGAAGACAATCTTTTACTGCATATGTAATAGGTATGGATAAGTCCTGCCAATGACCGCTGCTCAGTTCATTGGCTTGCAACACCTATGTTAAACTGGAAGTAAAGTGCAGAGAACCTCTCAACGGAGCAGAAATTCGTCAAAAAAAATCTCAATACATCTGCTGCTAAGTCCACCATCCAAAGAGACAAGGAAGACAATCTTTTACTGCATGTGTAAATGTAATAGGCATGGATAAGTGCTGCCAAGGACTGCTATGCAGCTCATTGGCTTGCAATACCTACTTTAAGGATTTGTTTACTCAATTTCAATGCCTTAAAGCAACTACACCCCATTTTCCATATTAAAAATTGAGAAATTGAGGACGAATATCGTGATGACTGATGCGTATTCTCTGTGTTGGATAGTTGACAAAGAGTTGGTTTTATCCATTTAATCGACTGGGTTACTATCTACAACAACTGAGAGGTGGTCAGCGAGATTTGGGCATAAAAATATGTTATATGTGTGAGGATGAGGAAAGAAACAGAAAAGATACGAGTTCGACAGATTAGCAGTAGAAATTCCTGAAATAAGGTAGATGGATTCAAACATCAAATGATGATCGTACCTTAAGCATGCTTTTACAGATTATTTAGCACCCTTTATTTCTTCTCAAGCAATTACTTTCATCAAGGGGAAAAAGCAAGTCACAAGTGCCAGAAAAAATTGGGCTCTGTGCCGGCTCACGGATAAAACTCACCACAATGATCTTAAAAAAGTTGAGCATGTGTATCTGGAAGTCCATCTCCATTCTTTTCACCAATTTAACTCACCAAACAACTTGTATATGAACATAGCACTCATTTTCTGAAAGAAAGACGGACCACAACCACTCTTTCATACATAAACTTAGTTCATTCCCTTTTTCTTCTCTCTTATACATAAAATAATAAATAGGACATCCACATATATCACAAAGCAAAAACCAGTAAGTGCCATTTGAACAATTTTATAAATAAAGCACAAATCATAGGACATGGGTCAGAAACTAAACCTGCTTGATGAAGTAACCAACAGCGTTATTGTCAGCATAGGTCAGAAAATGAGTTAGCCCATCAACGTCACGAGCGTGCTGTTTTAAGTGATTCATCAGCCTCGTGCCATAACCTTTTACTTGTTCATCAGCCGTAATTGCACAAAAAGCTATCTCACCGAACTTTTGGCTGTGAGATAGTTGAGGAAAAGATAGTTTTAGTCTCAAGAATCACATCGTGTAGCCAAATCGGATATATAAGTTGCCACCAGTTAAAAGAAAGGGAGAATGAGAGAAAAAATCACTACTCAAAAGAAGGCACCATTGTTAATTCCTCGGTTTTCATTATCTCCATGGTTCACTTGAAAGTGCATTTGGCCTGGTTGTTTCGGGATTGGAGGATTTTAAAACGTGGTGTTCCATTCCATGAATAGCCAGAATTATAAGAAATGGTCAACTTAATTCTAAAGGTTTGCAAAACATGTCAAAACCTTTCTTGTTTCTTCTAAGCCCAACCACGATTTCTATCAAAATAGTAATGGAGAATTCTAAGGATAATGTCAAGAAAGTATCACCAAGATACGCAGTATTTCACTTAATGTTCTAATCATTTAGGTCCATTTAGGCACCCATAAGTCCAAATGCTCTGAAAAGAAAAGGGTATTGCAAGAGAACAAACACTATCACATGAATGATTGCTCATTTAGAAGCTATGCATTCAACAATGCATCTTACTTAAGTGATATTGTTATCCTAGGCTTTGCTAACTCCAGAACATGTATATACAACAACAGAAGATCAACAGGCTAAATTGACTATTAAATAATAGCAACAAAAGTAAGGAGAGTCAAGTGAAGAAAGAAGAGCACTGCAGAATGAAAAGGAACATCACCTGGCATATGGGCGGTAAGTGATACCACCAACAACTAGATTCCGTCTGATAACCATTACTGACTTGTGGCTTCTGCAAATGCAATATGAGTATGATCACTTAAAGAGAGGATTAGTATATTTCCCAAAAGAATCTTGCGAGACCCATAGGTATTACTGCCTTAGTGCCTTGAACATCGAGCAATTAGATAAGTAAAGCTATAGATGGCACTAAAACTGCATTCTGGAGCAAATTTCAGCCATGAATAACCGAAGACAAAAGATCATGCTCATACTGACATTAGTTTCTTTAAACATTTCCTTCAGATAAGGAAAGAAGTTTTTACATGGTCCATCTGGCATTGAAATAAAAATGAAAGAGTTTGATCGCCAGATGAAATTATGTGAGACAAAAGAATGCCTATATGTAAAGAACATCAAACCTGCTCAGTGACTCCAAAGATACAAAGTCTGACACAGAGATGGACCTTGTTCTACAATACTATTTTCAAAGTAACCTGTGCCTGTGGCTATACATTTATGCCTTGTTGTGGTGGTTTATGGTGTGACCTCACTAAACTGCTAAGAGTGAGTGCCCTCGTGCTTCCTTTCATTTGTTTAATGCTAAATTCCAATCCTATTTACCAAAAATGGAATAGCCAAAGGGCAATGCCTTTTCCCTTTAGTTAAGAGCTCTAGTCCGGAATGTATTTTTCTTTGTTATGTGAAAACATTCGTAGTTGTAATGTAGGAAAAAACCTTTTTTTATTTAATCTGATTCCAGTATCTTATTTTCTTCTACTTCTCTTTCGGCTTTTGTAATGATTGGATTCTCGTGAATACCTTGCAATATATAACACTTGCCCCACCCAATTTTAGATATTTATGTGGAAAGCTTCTTTAAATACAAAGAATGAGGGTATAACATGTCAAGTCATGGTAATACCTGTCCATAACAAGACGCACGATGTACTCCTTTGGCATATTAGGAAGTTGCCTGGCAAAGATATTCTTTAATCCTATTAACCTGAGAACCAAGAGAAACATTGAAGGAGTGGAATAAGACTTGCTATAATTAAACATTTACACAAGAACCTGATATCCAAGGAAGTTAATGAACGCTGTGTTTTCTTGAAAGTTAAGACAAAGGGGAAGGGCAAATGCAATTTTTCACCGTTGTTGCACAAACTTTGTATCTGTAAATTAGGGGGAAAAGAAGGTTTTCGCCTACGGTGGAACAGTAAAGCGAACCTCCCTGGGTGTTAAAACATTTAATAAATGAAAAGATTTAGTACCAAACCATATGCTCATCGACACCATCATTTGAAAGGCACGCAAACTTGAGTCCTCCTGCTTCTTCCTGCAAAATTTAGATAAGCCCTCGCTCAGAAATGAAGCTGCAAAGATGGCCGTTCTCTATGACACCATGTGACGGTTTCTAGAGAGACCTTTTATCATGAAACGATCCTTGATCGTAAGGAATCTCCAACAAAAAGGAACACTCACCACTTTAACTAGACACCAGAGCCATCATCCTCTAGGTCACACGGTTAAAAAAGAAATCAACATAATTCAGCGTTTACTAGCAATGTCCGAGATGCTTGTAGATAGTTGTCATTCTTTGCTCGTATGATTGGACCGGCATTTTTAGAGAGAGAGAGAGAGAGAGAGAGAGAGGGATTTGACTCTCTTGAGAATGAACAATCAAATGTCCCTGCAATAAGTACACCTAAGCTCTTCATTGGATGTACGTACACCTAAAGGTTTTTGGAGGGCAAGTGGTTCGAGGGTTTTAAAAGTGCTAGAAGCAACTCTTCAGGGTCTCCCTGAAACGTTTAAATTCAAACCGAATAACCAAATTCTAATGCTTCGAAACTTCAACTAATTACTTCCAACTCTCCACCCAGGAAAATGAAACTACCACGAACGTTACCTCTCTTTTCAAGTTCTCTTCTCTAGCACTGTAAGCCCCACTCGTCTGTATATTCTCGGTGAATATCTTCACAGCATCCTCCTTCGGCACAATTCCGGTGCCCGAACCGGCGCCGGAGGCAGCAGCTGGCCCCAGAGCTCCCACACCGGCACCATTACCGCCGTCCTTGGCGGAGTCCTCCTTCTCGACCTTGACCGTCGCATTGCTCTCGGCCTTGATCTTCGTGTTCCGAGCCGCGGCCGAGCCCGCGTTCTCAAGCCGGGCCGCGGTGAACGTGCGGAGGGAGGACCCGCCGTCGTTGTCGCCGTCGAACTCCTCCTCCTCCTCGTCGGAATCGTCGTCGGAGTCGTCGCCGGCCCCTCCGCCGCGGGCGGAGATGCTCTCGAGGTCGTCGTTGGAGGTCAGGGCGCCGTCGCGGGTGTCGGCGGAGATGGAGGAGGGAGGGAAGGGCGGGGCGTGGTCGTCGGCGGCGGAGGCGCTGGCGTTGGCGGCGGAGAGCTTCCGCTTGAGGTGGATCGAGGAGGTGGCGGAGGCGGAGGCGGCGGAGTGGGAGGGGGAAGGGGTTTGGGAGCCGCGCGATCGGTTCTGCGCGGCGAGGTGCGAGGAGTGACTGTCCATTTGAATCTTGTTGATTCTCTCTCTCTCTCTCTCGAGTTGGCTCCGGCGATCTCGGTGGCGAGTTCGCGACTCACTGAGCTCCGGTGAATTTAGCGGATGTCGAGGTTTTTATCAGGTGGTTTTGGGCGCACAGAGAGAGAGAGAGAGGGGAAGGAGGAGATGTGCCGTAATGAATGAGAACAGAGTCTCCTCCAAACGAAACGAAAATGGCAACCGACTTTTTTGGTTTTTATTTAAACGTAAAAATATATAGAAATTTATTAAATGAGTTGGATTTATTGCCATTATTTATTGGTTTAATCAAAAGATAAAAAAAATCCATTACAAATCAGGAGTGATAGGTGGAATTAGGAACCACCCACTAAAAGCCGATTCCACAAAATTGAAACTGAAAATCACCCACTGATATCTGGACCCAACCGAGAAGTAGACCATTGGTTCGATCCAATTCTCGGATGGATCCATGGAACTGGCCAAGAGAGGCGAAGAAAGGATAGGGAGTGGCGGAGGAGGAGGGGAAGGGCGGGCACGGGTCGTTAGGTGGGATGGAGCAGTGGTGGGAGAGTGGCAAGACAAGGGGTGAGGATGAGTATGGTGACAATGAGGCGGAGCTAGAATGGAGGCACGGTGGTAGAGGGTGAGGGGAGAGCAAGAGGTGGGAAAGGGCGGGCACGAGTCGTCAGGTGGCGTGGAGCATGGGCGGCAGAGGGCGAGACAAGGGACGAGGATGAGTACGACGACAACTCGGTGGAGTGGGAGTGGAGGGTGAGGGTGAGGGGAGAGAGGGAGAGCAAGAGGTGGGGAGAAGATTTTCATCTCTCGGGAGAGAGAGAGCATATTTTGGGGAGTGTGAGAGTTTGTAGGAACGTGAAAAAACATGATGTGGGGTGGACGAGAAAGAGAGAGAGAGAGAGAGAGTAAGTTTAGGGTTTTTGAATTTTTAACATAAAAAATGAAAAATACGTATAATATATATGTACTGATCCAATCTGGGTGAATGGTTCTACATGTGGAACCAAGAAGCTGAACAGTGCTCACCAGTTAAAGTAAATCGAAAAATCCAACAAAAAAAAAAAGTAAATCGGGAATCTAGAATTAAACCAGTCCCCATAGGAATTATCAGTTTTGGGCCAGTTCCGTTTCTTTGCATACCTCTATACAATTGAGTATGGATGAAAGACATTTAAATTGTTCTAAAGGTACGCGAGGAAATTGTTCTTGGTCCATAGTTATTTCATCACTACTTAAATATGCACGAATAAATTGATAAACTTATCTCGTTTGACATAACATATACTTGAAATTCGTGTTCTCTTGTCCCGTTCTCCAATTATTTACAATTGAATTTATCATGTTTGAATCCCGCGAGATGTGAATTGAGTGTTCAAACATCAACCGCATTTCATGTCGTCCTTCTTGTACGGTCTATTCATGTGATTGTACGGGGGAAGAAAAGTTTGATGTATATCATGAGGATTTTTGGTCTTTTACAGTAGACGACCATTACAAAAGTTGACTTCATACATACATACATACATACATACATATATACATACATATATATACACATATATATGCGCGCACGCGCGAATGTAAAGAATTTTCTTATTATATTAGCGATTTAATTTAGTTATTTGATAGATGCTCTTATTTAGGATTCAATGTGGTAATATTTATATGAATACATAATTTATTTTCTGGAAGTTACCACTAAAATTGATGCAACTAACAATATACTATATTGTTTGATTGAGATTTTTAAGGGATTACTTTATGAATTAATACGTGAATGATGCAGCAAGGATGTGCATGTTCGACCCCGGTTTTCTCTTGGGATCGGCCCAAAAAGGATCCGAATCAATTCGTAAATTACAAACACACGGCCCGAGAAGCTCGGGCTCGGTTTACTTGGAATCATGGGCCCGGCCCATTCGCGGCCCCGCCTTTGGCCCAGTGACCGATATGGAGCGAGACACAAGGAATGGCATAACCGTCATTCGGACGAACTCGCAGGGAGCGTTCGGTAAAATCAGAACCGGTGGAGGTAAAAAATTTTCAAAAATTCGCGAAAATGGGTTTTTTCCCACCCAAACTGACCCGCCAAGCCCGGTTTCGGCCCGATTCAAAAACACTCGTCAAAAAGCTTCCACAGAACGCATTCCCTCCTTCCATCTGCTCATTCTTCCTTCTCACCATATCGCCCTTTCGCTCTCCGCTCTCCGGCGAGCCTCCCTCGGTTCAGATCTCTCCTCCTCCGGCGCTCTCCGGTCAGATCTCTTCTTCGCTCTTGGTTGGTCCGTGTACTCGCAGCTCAAAGCTTCGAAATTTCGTCAACACCCCACGTCTTTCTTGCATCTGCCTTCCGCGTTTGTTTTTCTTTTTTTCGAAAATGGTGTTCGAGCGGTTTATCTCTTCGCTTTTTGGTCTTTCCCACTTGGAGAGCTCGTCCATTTGAGAGATCTTCGAGGCTATTCGTTCAAGGATGCTCATAATTTCGTAATTTCGTTTGATCTTTTGGTTTTTTTTTTTCTTGGGTCAAAATTTGATCTTTTGGTTCGAGTGGCATGAGATTGAAGGGAATTTCGCGTTTTCGTTCTTCTTTTTTCTCGTGGGCAGAGAACATGGCGGGGAAAGGTGGAAAGGGGCTCGTAGCTGCAAAGACCACGGCGGCCGCGAGCAAGGACAAGGACAAGGACAAGAAGCGTCCCATCTCTCGCTCATCTCGTGCTGGTATTCAGGTAAATTTCTCCTTTTTTGTATAAAAAAAATCATGTTTTTGGATCTTCCTTGATAGTGGTTAGTAGTTTTTGTTGGTTTTCTGTAATAAGTGGTGGAGCATCAGATTTTATGTACGTTAGTGGAAAAAGGTCGAAGCTTTTACAGAATTGAAGGGGCCCCATTAGCGCGCTAATGAGGGATGATTAAAAGTGTTTGATTCTTTAGATTTCTCATAAGCGCACCCTTGTCCAATCTTATATGAGATAAAGTTGGGAACTTGGGTGTCGGGGAGTGTTCGATTCGTGTAAACAACCTTAGAGTTTACATGTGGTTGATGAATTACAGGGTTTTTTGAACTTCAGAATATCTTGATTTGCATGGTGGGTGGAAATCCACAGGACCGCGAGCCTAGGTGATGAGTTTTCATCTAGTAATGGATTGGGTTGTAGCAATATTAGTGTATATGTTATCTTGAGTATGTTCATACTCTGATTAGGTAGAAATTGTTTCAGGCGGGTGATGTTTACTCGTTTTATCTTTTAGGAGATCTACTGGAAGATTGCATTGTTGGAGCATTTTTTCTTCTTCTTCTCTTTATGCTTTTGATTGCTGAGCTGGCAAAATGTGTGAAGCTAGGTAGTAGTCATTCATCTGATTCGGTTTATTTCACTGCTTAATGCTACTTAAGTATGTTGGAACTGTTTATAATTTGTCTCATAATTAGTGGATGGATGTGAAAGAAAAGGATCTCGAAGAGATGGAAGAGTTGCTTGGCCACTATGTCTCGCAACTATGCTTAACATGTTTCACTAGAAAGTAATAGAGGTTTTCTCTTAAGTATTGACAGTGGTATAGTACCATCTTAAAAGGTTTGGTTCTACTTGCATTTCATTTTAGCTGCAATTGAGAATCATTTCATGCATAATACTGATAGAATGCCTTTTGATGTCTTAGAAGAGCTAATAATTATAATCAACCCTTTTGCTCTCACCATAAATATGCACGTTGATTGCAATTAACCTTCTTGGTCGAGTAACCTGTTCTGGGTTTTGTTTGCTTGAGATCAGTTTCCTGTGGGTCGGATTCACCGGCACCTCAAGACAAGGATCTCCGCAAACGGCCGTGTTGGGGCGACAGCGGCCGTGTACTTGGCATCCATTCTGGAGTACCTGACAGCCGAGGTGCTCGAGCTTGCAGGCAATGCAAGCAAAGACCTGAAGGTGAAGAGGATAACCCCGCGGCATCTACAGCTGGCCATCCGGGGGGATGAAGAGCTCGACACTCTCATCAAGGGAACCATTGCGGGAGGCGGCGTCATCCCTCACATCCACAAGTCCCTGATCAACAAAACCACCAAGGATTGAATTGGAACTAAAATCCCCATCAACATCAACATCAACATCATCTTCTCTTAACTGGGTTTTATCTGCTTGTTGTTCTGATATGTGGATTATGTGTAGCTTTAGTTTTAGACGAGGTCCTTGGTGCTTTTAATAGCTAGGTTTATGTCAGAATGATGTTTAATTTGTGATACTGGTAATCGTTCGATGTTTGTTATTCTCAACAAACCGACCCCATCCGTGTTCAGTGTCTTCATTAGTTGTATCAACTCAAGATGGTCTCTAACTTTGCCTTCTGTTTAGGTAACGCCTGTTCATCTGTCTCCGCACATTAAATAGCACAGCAATGAACTTCGCCCTTTTATCCCCTAGTGTTGGATTGGGCCGTTATGTTTCTGCTGTCGTATCTCAATTTACATGATTTGGAGGAAGGGAATGGAAGGGAAGATCGATGGGTAAATGACCACATATAGTTCATCAGTAAGCTTTTTATAATATGTTTACAGTTGAGTCAGCCAAGAGCCTACCATTACACCTCACGAGACCGAGACAACCAAATGGTTTCATGATTATTTTTTTAACCGAAAGTATAAAGCTTAGTTTTAGGCTAAACTTGATGGAAAAATGAACATGGAAATAGATGGTACGAATGTGGGATCTTCATGCGGTGGCAACAGCTGGCGAGTTACCTGTCTAGGAGATATGCCTCTCGTCTTGTCGTAGAGATCATGTCGCACGTGTGTCATTTTATTCTGCTAACAGCAATTTGGGAGGTCATTTCATGATTATATAAATGCATCACGCAACACGTTTAAAAGATGGGTATGTAATAAAATTGGTTTATTTTCTTTAAAAAACTCTCAACTTCAGGTATAATCCCGATTTTGTCTTGAACTTTTCCTTAATATAAACAATCATAATTTTCATCATAAGTCTCAAATCTACCTCACGTTCAAAAATTGCCACTAGTTTCCTCAAAATTATCAATTAGGATTAGTTAAAGTTTCATTATCAGAACCCGCATCTGCTAGTGTCGGATTTTGGATAGTGGGCAGATTGGAGATTATATTCAAAGTTTGTGATTTTTTTAGAAAAAAAAGATTCAGGGCAAAACCGAAGTTAGATTTAAAGTTGGAGTTTTTTTTTAGGGAATTATGCCTAAAATAGGTTTAATGTCCATATCTCCCTTCCCTAATATTAAATTAATTTTTTTCTTCCTGTTTTCTAGATACGGAAATTAAATGCCTAATCATTTTGGCGGACCGCCTAATTTCGAGTTTCTTCACTGATTTTATCACGGCAACGCGCCAAACGTGACCTAGAGGGCTTTCTATTTCCCGTGTAAACTTGGAGCACATGATGACAAAACGGAACCAGATCCTCGTTTCAATAATTAGATGCCGAAATGCAGAAGAATTCCATTGGTCTTGTCCTTCGACGAAGCTAAGATAGCAAACAGCAAAGTCTGTCTTTAAGGAATCTTTTCCAGCCAACCATGATGTCTCTCCGACAAATAACCAGAAAAGATACCGACCATAGCCATGCAATTAAGCATTGCTTTAAACAAAGTTTATTGCCAGAACAGGCGCTCTAGGAGTTGATTTTTTCCTAAGGAGCAAATTTGGGTTTAATTAGTTTCGAATGGTTAAGCATTGGTTCGATCATGATCGTGTGTACACGCATCCAAAAACCATTGTGCTACGATAGTGTCGCGAACAGAATCAACAAGGATATGCGGCATGCATATTTTGGCGAGACTCGATGCAAGTCTCATCGTTTCTGGATACGTGATTGATTTGATCGAATAATAAAAGCACTCGAAAAGGAAAATAAATGTGTAGACGCTCAATTAATTAGTGGATTCTCTGCATAATCTACTGCAGTGATTTTATATTTAACCTATTCATGCCCCATATTTTATATGCTTAAGATGCGCGTTATGAGATAACGTTATGTGTACGATTGGAGGTGGATAGTTTGGGGGGCCCAAATAGCCCGGCCCACTTCTTTTAATTAGGGTTTCCTATGAGGCTATATATATATAGATAGTGAGAGAGTCTCATGCCTCCAAGGAACGGAAAACCCTAGAGATAGTGCCTCCAAGAGAAACTCTAAGATAGAGAATCGTTCTCTATTCGGCGTTCAAGAAAAAGGAACTTCAAGATCTTTCGCTAGCACGTGGATCGTTGGAGAATTCCGTTCGTGTGTGTGGATACCGGTAGAGGCGCAACACTTGGGGCGCTAATCCAAACACAATCGGTTGTCAATTTATCTTCGATCTGCAAAAGGTATGTTTTGAAATTCCTTTTCGATTTCAATATACACATGGATCCTATCTAGGGTTCTATATTCCGCTGCGTTGTTACCATTGATGAACCCTACAACAACTTCATTGTATAAATTCAAGAGTAAGTTGAGTCCTGTCGAGTTGATACTTACATACGTGCAAAGTAATTTCAAAAGTCGAAACTCTATATGTGCTCAATTTGACTCAATCGAGCACAAAGCTCGACGTTTCAAGTTTGAGCTTGATACTATGGAGAGTAGATATGTTCGATCAAGATCGATAGTTGATAAATGTATTTTCTGTGTACACAATTACTTTGAACTTTAGGAAATGAGATTAATTTCAAAAATTAGTCTTTTATGCTATAAAGCAAAATTCGGAGTAGGGTTTAAATCTTGAACTTTTGTCTAAAAAGTCCTTATACAATATGAAGTTGAACATATTAATTTAATGATTAGAAATCTTAATTATGAATTGTTTCATAAGTGATACTATCTATCATTTTTAGGAAAATGTATTCGAAATTATTCATTTTGTGCGAAACAAATGGCGCCTTAATCCTCTAACTTTCATTATTTATACACATTCTGAATAGGGGGAGTGGAGAGAGAGTTTTTACTTCCGTTCGACCACCACTACCCTCTCGCGGATGGCCAACCCCAACAAGAGTTGCAACGAGCGCCCTTCATGGTGTGCCTTGCCCCGACCAATGTCGGTTGACCCCTCGCTAAGTCACCATAGCAAGGATCACGCCGAGCCTGCCGTGTTTACAAGGGGCGGGGATGCCCCTGGCTTCTCTTTATCTCTCTAGATCCGGCAAGGGTTATCGGACCCTCATTTGACACAATGGAGGATGCTAGACCCTCAACCTGTATCCAACAAGGAGTGGCTAGTCTTTATTAGAACGAGTTCAATAGAAGATAAAAAGTACCTATCTTGCTCGAGAGGGAGTCGGTAACATCATGCAGGGGTCCATGACATCTGGTCAAAAACTACGTGTTAGGCTGGAACTCACGTCACCTTTTAATATGACAAATTGGTTGCTCTTATAATAAGCACTTTGGTATTTAGGAACTGCTGTGATGACAGTTTCGGCTACAATAGATCCCTCATGTTCATCGTCACCAACCATAGAACATTCTTAATAAATAATAGCTTAAGTGAAAAGACACCTCCTGATCTTCTCTCAATCTCTCTCTCTCCAGCAGGAAGAGGTCCTTTTCTTTGCTATAAAAACAGCCCATTTCGCAAGAACAGAAAGTTACATTTCAGATACCAACAATTCCTTGCATTCACAAGAAAAACAAAGAAGAAACGAAAGCATCTTTCGTGGGTTCTGTGGATGCTACGGTGGAGAATCTAATGCTCGCAAAACTCCAAAACTCCACCCGCCAGTCCTGAAAGTTCAGTCTCTCTCTAATCCGGACTTTGGTATATATACATATATAAAACCACCCTGTCCATGCACAAACATCACGCACAAGGCCCTTGTTATCTTCCTTTGTTCTCCATCTCTCAGCGTGGTAGCCAGTCATGGAAGCAAGGCTCCTTCATCAGAGCATGAGCCCTTTTATGCCGGCCCGCGATCGCCCTCACTGCCGACGCACTAAAAAGCCTCTGCGTTCTCCGGTTCTTGCCGTCTTGACGAGCCCCGCCGGGAAAATAGCGGAAATCGTGGAGAAGGCGACGACGACGATAAGGCTGGAAGAAGATGCCATTGTTACTAAGTACAAAGACAACTGGTTCGATCTCGTGGCCACTAATCATCTCTCTCGAAGCGTTCAAGCCGCTATAGGTTGGTATTTCGGATAGATATATATGTCGGGTGAAAATAAAACTTTTCGTTTTCAGTTCATGAGGGAACGATGAAGGGAAGAAAGCGTTGTGATATGAGCAAAATATGTACTGATTGCTTTTTGCAGGTATTAGGAACAAAAAGAGCGGGTATGAGGGCTTGGTGGAGGCGGCCTCAGCCGCGTACCGGAGCTTCAATCCGACGGAGCAGCGCGAACTCGTCATCTCAGCTCTCGAAAGAGCCTTCCCGAGGCCAATCCTGAATATGGCAAGTTCACGTCGCTTGTGTTTTATCTCCTTTTGTTTTCTTGTGCTACCTATTTGCTTTCTTCTCACAAGATTAAACAAGTAAAAACAGAAAAAAAAAAATGCAGAGACAAGCCGAATGACCGCATCATATTACATGAAACTCAACGATGAAAGCAAACTCTTGTAGATGCAAATGCTACGCATATAAGCTACCTGAACTACACATGCACTATTATCAAGAATTCACCAAGTTAAATTCTGGGTTTTGTATCACTGAAAGATGCCGACACGGTGAGATCCTTTGGTGCCTCAGATATAACGCCACCTTGAGTACGAACGACATAACGAAAAGGAACAAAGATTACCTTATTTTATTAGTTTTGATAGGTACCCCAATTAGTCATATCTGTATTTTTCTCCTTAACCCTTCTTCTTTCTTGGTATAATCGAGTGCAGATAAGGACATTGCTGCCTCAGTCTAAATTCACCCGGGAATACTTTGCTGCCTTCACCACTGTGTTTTTCTCTTGGTTGGTCGGAAAATGCGAGGTAAGGGAAGTCATCGTTATTAATTTTTTATTATTAATTTATGACTTACGATCAAGTTATCTATTGCTGCCGTCCTTTATTCTCCTTTTTTTCTTTTAATCTTTGTTCATTTTATGGGGCTACAAAAAGTAAGGGCACACGTCGTTATGGAAGATACGGTAGCACTTTGCAATTTTAACATCATGCAGTCCCAAATCAAGGGTCAGAAGGTGCAGTTAACATTGAGTTTTGGTTTGTCAATGAAGCTAGCTATACTAAATTGATCTATGAAAGATTTAGTCCTTGAGATAATTAGTAGTTTAGTACATGTTGAATGTGGAATACCCGTACTAATAGAGGATATGATGTATGAGTCAAATTTCAAGATACATCATGCATTTTCGCTACCTCGGTGTTAACATTTGGATGAGGGAGACAATTCGAACGATTCATAATTGCAATCCATCACTCAAATGAGTCACCAGCTTATGGGATAGTTATCATTTTGGAAGCTTGGTGGCATAAGAGCATGGACAGAATCACTAATCAAATAGGAGGGTCGATACTGACCGGGACATAGTGATTTAAGTAGAGGAATTTGTGAAACCACAAGTCCCATATTGGATGGAAGAGTTCTTTTTAAGTGATTCTTAAACATGATCCACCCTTGTGGACTTATCACCTGGTCTAAGCACCACTCGCATGACCCATGGAGCGAGAACATGGTGGTTGTGGATCCACATTGGCAATCGCGAGAGATGCACGATTCGACTCTTCTCTCCGGAGCCTCTCCCGATTCGCGGGAGATGGCATCAATTTGCACAAAGAAAAATGTTCACCAACCCTAGGACGTGTATTGATTTAGGTTCCCCCTAAAAGTTATAAGCCTATTCATTTTGATTATGCACACCTTAGGCATTAGAAAGGAAAGTACACAATTTGCAAACCACCCTTTATTTTATGTGCCCTGCACCCTATAGCTGGTCAGCCAAATGAATTCTGCCATGAACGGTAGCAACAATCATGGATCCACACCTTTTTGACTGCATGAAGTGGCCGACCCAGCAATATAAAATTTTGGCCAAGAAAGTTTTCAACGCTTCGAACTTTATTTTCCTGCCACTGAGTAAATTATGGTGTTTTCCTATAGTTTGTCCTTATTAACAACAAGGAATTAATGAGGCAAAGTGCATGAATATGGAGTACCACCTTGGACGCCTCTCTTTGAAGCCGCAAATTCTTTTCACATTGCTCGCTGTTTGTCAGGCATCTCCCTTGCAAGTCCTCCATTCTTGCATGACAACCATACACTCCTAGAGATAAAAAAATAAGGCATGAATGAGACTTAGCCAACTTAATTCTTCAGAGAGAGAGAGAGAGAGAGAGAGAGGAAGAAGAAGAAGAAGAAGCAGAGGAAGACACAGAAGTCTCTGGATGTTTCTAAAAGTGAGAGTAGAGTAGGAGTGACCCGGTTGCTTCATGTCTAGGCCATGAACCTGATCAACCTAAGTTAAGAGTGGCCACTGACCATCGTCACTCAAATGTAAATTCATTAAATTTTGAGGGTCTAGAGGTGGATGAGTTTGAAGAAGCATATAAAAACTCGCCACAAGAAATGTTGTTTCCATGCGTGTGTTTTACCTAAATCATGTTTTGAATTCTACATCAGGCTGTTAAATGTTTTGCCTCAGAGGAAGCAAATACTTCAGGAATATCTGATCCATCAGTGAAGTGTGTGCGTGTAGGGTCCTCATTGACCCATTTGAGAGTGCAACATATAGGTAAACAGCACTCAAGTATGGAAATGAAAAATTAAATCAGGACGGAATTAAAGTGCTTAATGAATAGTATGTGATGAGTCTTCATTCAGTGCGAATTTACACATGGAAACATGCAGCTAATCCAAGAGAAAGCATTTGGCACAAAAATAATGGTTTATGAATCGTGTCAGGAGGCGGCAATCTCATCATTTTCCTATTGAAATCAGGTGAGAGAATCAGAGCTCGATGGAAGAAGAGAAAAGAATGTCGTCCACATAAAGAAGTGCAGGTGAAATTCTACTTTCACCCTTTAATATCTACTTCTGCAGAGATTTAAGCTGACTCGTTATAGCAATTAGCAACACGAGACACACTTCAGCATTAAAATAATCTGCTCCAATGATTGTGCCTCACGGACACTTTGTTCTAATCACGATGATGGCCCGAATCATCTCCGTCGTAACCCACTAATCATATCCATTGTCAGAATCATGCAAACTTTGCATAAGCCTTACATCACCCAATCGAGAAAAGAAAAAAGAGGAAATAATTTCACCTTTCTTTACCTGGCAGGTTTTTGGAAGAAACCAACTGTGTGGGAATGTGCCTTAATCTCTGTAAAATGCCTTGCCAAACATTTATCAAAGACTCCCTAGGAGTGCCAGTCAACATGGTGCCAAGTAAGTATTTCTTTCTAGATCGGCACAATTGAAAAAAACAGGATGTGATTATGTTCAGTTTACAATGTTACTGCCCAAAAGCAGTTAATTATAAGCGCATGCCTTCCTGTGTTAAACTAAGGCTGCATAAACATTCCTAGTAGATGAAGCCGTTGCATTTTCTCAGCTGATGAATAGAACTCACAAGTGAGTTTCCATGACAGATAGAAAACGGTTTGAGTACATATACACATTGATGTCATATTTTTTTTTTCATGGATGGAAGGCTTAACCGCCTATCATCCATACTGAGGTCCACAATTACTAGTAGCACACTGATATCATATCACCCGAAGAAAATCAGCACAAGGGAACATACTCTAGTACCATTTAATTAAAAAATTGCCATAAGACTCCTGCATTAGTAAACTAATGAGGAAAAGACATCATAATATGAAGAGTAACAGTACCTGCACTACAATGTGGGAGGCCATGGTATCATGTCATTGGAGGGTCCCATATATGAACCACTCAGGGTGCAAAAACTTCAGGTATAGACATCCCATCTCAGGTACATAGAAATTAAATCAAGGGATCAATTCTTGGATCTTTGCCTGTGAGTTTAATATGTAAAATGATAAATTCGTGCAGTGAAATCCACTACGTTAATTTAAAGGCACTGAAACTCGTGTAATTCCATGAAGCCAATCATTCGTAGCCTGTCTTGTCAATGTTACAGCTCCACCTAAATTTCCTCAATATAGTAAAGAAAAGAAATCAAAGACTTCTAATTTCCATGAGCCAATCATTTATCATTAAGTGTAGAGTTATTTATACATAGTGATTTGGAGAAAACCACGGGCAAAGTAGCAGAACATTGATGAGCATATATGTTGACATATGCACCCGTGTGCGCATGTGTGGATATGTTTATTCTTGACTGGTGCTGATATTAGAATACAACTTAATTTGCAGATTTTGATGACATGAGTTGCCAGATGGTATTTGGGCAAGATCCGCCAGCGATAAGTGATGATCCAGCATTTAAACAGCCATGCTTTAAATTATGTAATGACTCAAAACAATAACTCACTTCTCTAGGCATACGCAACACCAAATGAACAATTGCATGGAGATACACTAGTTTCCTCGTTCTTTTTACTGTGAAAACAGACTCGTAAAATAGGTACATTTAAGAATGCAGGTTCTAACCTTAAGCATGTTAATCATGCAGGCAAGGCAAAGCAAAAGCACAGTGAAAAATGCACCAGTTGATGCAGAGAGACAGAGAAGGGGAATGATGGACAGTTCCATTACCAAACTTGGACCCAAATAATTCTTTGTAGTGGATATACAAAGGCCTAGCCAAGATTTATTTTCCCTTTTAGTTGTTCGTTACATTTATTACCCAAGAAATTATATATCCAAATATGTCAAGATATGCCTATCACCATGTTTATAGAGGTATACTCTTGCAGTGTAAAAGCTATTTCAGTAAGGCACACATTACCAAGCTGCAAAGCAATAGAGTCCAGGTTTCTTCATCAATCATACTAACCAAGTTTAAGGACATGCAGGAGATATTCAAGTGGAGTCAGCCACATACACGGTGGATCAACAACTTCCACTGGTCATCATAATGGGACTCTATCGAGCAAATTTGATGTAGCAATAGTTACATCAAAGTTTTTTAACTGTAGAAATGATAGCTTATAAAATGATTTTTCCAGCCGAGTTCCAAATTTCATCAAATCTCCAGGAGAAAAGAATTAAAAACTTAATTCCGATCAGTAAAAGTTCAACATTCCCCTCCTGAATATGTTGCCCAGCCTATCTTGATTCCCAGCAATAACTGGAGCCAGATAAATTGTTTTTTATTATGGTAACATAGCAAAACAAAAAAGTGAAAAGAAAACTCGACAAAAGATGAGACCTTTTCTTTCTCAGCATTAACAGAAAATATGAGAAAGGCACCTGAGAATTGAAATTCACCATAGGAGCGAGTTTGAGTGCTTGGCCATCCTTTGGGAATTTCTATCATCGGATCTTCTCCCGACTCCAAGCTCAGTAAGCATGTTGTTTTACTGACTCTCATTAGCTGTAATAAGTTTCAAAATTTACCGTGAAATCCAATTTAATCATTTATGTTCCAATAGTATCCCTCACAATATCATAGGGAATTTCCCTTTTTAGCAAGCAATTGCAAGTTTAAAATCTGTTCTTCTGCATGTATCTGAAACATGAGGTTAATGTTTTGTGGGGCAATTACTTCTTTGCTCTTGACTCTGGTATAAAAGGCTACAGCGGTAAGATAATCATAAAGATTGTGAATAACCAAAACAACATATGATTTCTGGTAAAAAAAGATATGTACGTTGATTAAGCAACCACATTACATAGACGAAGCCAAAAACAGAAAGTAGGTTTTGAATTTGACAGATCCTCAGATATAAGAACATCTGCAAACCAGATCCTCCCACCACTTGGAGACTCGACCGGGTGAAAGACTCAAATATATCCTCCAGAATTTTCTTCGAGTGATTGAGTCAAGAACGGACTTGATACTATCATAGCCTGGCTTTCATGATGACTTTTTCTAGGAAAACCAATCAGCTTCTTTCTGAAAGCTGAGTGTTTTGACCGAAGAGCTGGTGTAGGGTTCAAGATCAGCAAGTGGACCATCCATGTCTCCCACCTTTCATAAGCTGTGTCAAAAGACCTTGCTAAGATTCTTAAGCAGTCTTTTCTGTCTCAATGAGAGAGTGACCGAGTGATCCAACCCACTTTCAACCACTAACAAATTCAGCTGTAAGTGGATCTTTTCAATAATGAGGTTTTGAAACCGTCTTCGATGATTTAACTGTGAGGCAGCAGAAACAGAGGGGGCATGACGTGCACTAGAATTAAAAGATGAGCAGGGAAGATTCATGTTATGAAGGAAAAAAAGACAAGAGAGTCACACCGTGTAGCAGGAAGCAGATTACTATCTAAGACGAATTACCATGTTTAGTCATTCCCTTCACAAAGACATAAACGTTCTTCTCAGATATCAACAACTATGCGGCATCATATCATGCTATTCTGAGTTTGCTAGATACAAACTCTGCCTTCCTCAACAAATGGAATTTTTCCCACTTATCACATTGTAAAATAACTGGAGCGCAAGCCTTGCTGTAGGGGTAAAAATTTATTCCATAGTGGCCTGAGTTCACAGGTTCATGTCAGGAAACAGCCTCACTGAGAAACCAGGGGTAAGGTTGCATACATCAACTTCTTCCCAGACCTCACAGTGCGGGGAGCGTTGTGCACTGGGATGCCACCGATCACATTAGAAAATAACTATGAGATTAAAAATTGTGCGAGAAAGGAGTTTAGGGTCACAAATCCATAAACAAATTTCCTTTGGTGCCACACAATCTACTGCAAGTTGCTTCATAGGTCTTCACCACTAATCCCATTCAGCACCTATTTGCTGCTGCTCTGCTAAAACATATGAAAGCACACTGAAGAACAGTTGCCAATTGAGAAATGACTAGGAGCCATGACCACGAGTGACGAGCCACGCATTTTCTCTAGCACTTAAGATTCCCAAAATGTAAATGATGAGTAAAATTTGTCTTATATTTATAGTCAAATAGGAAAACAGCAAGGCCACGATAACTAAAGTTTGTTTTGTCACACGCAATCATCAATCATCAAAGGGATAACGACACAAACAGTCCATGAACTTTGGTCTAATGTGCAATTTGATCCCCAAACTTTTAATTTGTTCAATGTAGTCCCTGAACTTTAGCCTAATGTTCAATTTGGTCCCTAAACTTTTAATATGTTCAATGTGGTCCCTAGACTTTTAATACATGTTCAATTTAGTCCCTGAACTATATGAAAATGTTCAATGTAGTCCCCGAACTTAAATTAATGGAAGGACTACGTTGAACATTTTCAAATAATTCAGGGACTAAATTGAACATATTCTAAAAGTTCAGGGACCACATTGAACAAATTAAAAGTTCAGGGACCAAATTGAACATTAGGCTAAAGTTCAGGGACTACATTGAACAAATTAAAAATTCATGGATCAAATTACACATTGGGTCAAAGTTCATGGACTGTTTGTGTCATTTTCCCATCATCAAACCAAGCAATTCTACCAAATAAAATTAGAAAACTGTTCATATTCTCGGTTACATTCTCGGGACAAGTTCCGTCCCCCACGATCAAACACTAGTCAAAGATCACTGCAAATCGTCAAACTCCACTTCTACCAGATCTTATTCAGCATGGGTCGACACTCTCGTGGGAATTCACAGGCAAATGACGATCCTTAAGCACGGTGATTTTATAAAATATCTCTTCCTTAACTATCATATCTGTTTATGCAGTCTCAAATTTTATCAACCGCCAAAACCAGATAGTGCTATAGGCGAGCAAGACAATTTAAGAGACAAACTTACTCGTGGACCTCGCGCAATCGGGTGCGAAGAAGCCAATGGTCAACTGCGTATTTGCTTCTCTCCCCATGTCACAGGGTTACAAAGGGTTTCAGATATCCATCACTCCCTTATCCAGATAAATAATGGGCCTTTCTGTTCTTCCTATTCATCTGACCGCATCGATTTCTAGCTTGAAATTCAGAGACCCAGAATCCCTTAAAACAATCTTTTGGGCTACAAAGCGTGTCCAAATTAATGTCGATTCAGGATAGCCTCAGACAGGAGCAACAAATCACTGTGTACCGGAAACCCGAACAAAAACACTTGTGGTTGAAAGCATACGATCATGACTTGTATGTAGAAGCATGCTGTCTGTAATTTAAAGCCGACTGCCTCTATATTGTACAATGAAACCCAAAATGCAGACACCTAACCGTACAGATTATCTTTCAATCCTGTTCCATCTGAAAGAAGCCGAAATGATGATCTTTCTCCCCGGTTTTGGCGGGAAAAGAACTCCACATCGGTTCAAAAACTCGAGGCTTGCGACCAACCAGGTGCAAGATTTTGGTAAGCACGAAATGGACGGGACAAGATCGAAGGAGACGAGAGGGAATTCGAATGCAACTCGCATTGTCCATGAAGTTACGTGGAGACTCTGCGAGAAAGGAAGGAAATTTGACGAGCAATGCTCGGACGTCCTTAGTCGGCTCGCAAGAACATCGTTTTGGTCGGTGGATGTCCCTGTGCATTTATACATATAGCAAAATATTTAATTCTTTCTCATCTCTAATTTTTATCGACATTCGATACGTATGTCTCGTTCGTATACATAATTTGGTAATAAATATCTGATCAATGTACGAGAAGTTATTGGAATTATGTATATTTTGCTAATAAGTACTTAAAAATAATTTTTCTTTTATGTATATATAAGTTCCATTTGAAATATCTATATGTTATATGTTTACAAATAAATATGGGATAAGTGCACTAGAAATCTTAAAACTTACCAAGAAAGTGTAATTGAGTCCTAAAACTTTTAAAAAATGCAATTAAGTTCTAAACTTGTTAACTCGGTGGAATCGTGCAATCAAGTCATTCTGTTAATTCCGTCCAATTTGGTTAATAGAAAATATTATTATTTATTATTTTCTCTCTCCTACGTGGCTAAAACGATGTCGTTTTTGTCTAAATCTGATTTTTTAATTAAAAATAAGCAAATTAAAAAAAACAAAAAAAAGAAGGGTCAATACTACGAAAAATTCAAAACCGGTACATCTGTGACAAATTTACCCTCCTTTAATTTTTGTTAAATTTTTTCGTCAAATTTCTGAGTTGAATGACACATAGCAGCTAGCGGGTGTACTAGTTTGTGGTTTTACCCTTCCGTTTATCACAAATGTAACAATTTGTGATTTTTCGTGATATTAATCCAATTTAACGGAAGGTAAATGTGTCACAATGTACAAGTTTTGGATTTTTTGTTGTCAAAGTAAATTTGCCACGAGTGTATCAGTTTGGGATTTTCCGTGGTATTAACCCTTCGAAAAATCAAATCAATATTAAACGCTTGAAACTTGTGAAAGGAAAAGAGAAAAGACCTCGATTCTTATTAAACTTATGGTCTAGAGTACATCAAAGTCAACTTTTCCCTCTATTCTCGCTCCTTAAGAATAGGAAAACAGCGAAACAAAAGACCGAACGTAGCCAAATTTATCTCATTCTCATGTCATCGATCGATCTCTTATGATTAAGCCATTTGCAGTTCCCCTCCGGCTTTAGGCACCACCGACGGGAACTCATCGATGCCGTGGACCGAATTGTACTTGGAGGACGAGAACTTCTCTCCATCGCCCCACAGGGCGTAGGCCTCCTCGCCGTGGATCGCATCATCCCCGGTTTGCAACTCGTCTTCGGCCAGCCTCAGTGGCACGATCTTCCTCACTACCAAACATATGAAGCTCGTCATGATCACATTGATGAAGATCACGTAAACAATGCCCAGAATTTGGATGCCCATCTGCCTTAACCCTTTGTCAAGGTGGCCCGTCTGGACCCCGTAGGCGAGGCCGATGTAGTTCTGCCAGTTTGGGGGGTCTTGGTAGAAGAGGCGGTTCAGCTTGGGCTCAGCAAAGAAGCCTGTGAGGATGCCGCCAAGGCTGCCGGCGACGGCATGGGTGTGGAACACAGCCATCGTGTCATCAACCTGCTTTAGGAGCCATATCTTCTTGTGGAGCACCATCATGGTGTACCACGGGATGCTCCCGGACATGATCCCCATTAGGATCGCTGCCCAACCTTGGACGACTCCTGTGTGTGCATAGCAAAAAGAAAGTTTGTTTCTAATTAATGTATGGCGAGTTTCAAGATAATGCTATAAAAGATTCGGTTATTATAGTTACCGTTTGCGCGGTAGATAGAAAGAGTCCGTACCCTTTTTAAATTTGTGCTTCTAATTAAAGCGATATTTTTACATTATACCTGCGGCGGGAGTGATGCAAACCAGGCCGGTGATCATGCCCTGGGTGGCGCCGATCACGGAGGGTTTCCCAAAGAAGAGGATGTCGAGCAAGAGCCATGTCAGCAGGCTCGTGGCCGTGCACACGTGGGTGTTGAGGACGGCCATGGACGCATCGGTGCTGACAGTGTAAGGATCCCCGCCATTGAACCCGGTCCATCCCATCCACAGCAACCCGGCCCCGGCGAGCATGAGGAGGATGTTGTTGGGAGGGAACCTCTCCCTATCCTTGGTCGCCCTTGGCCCTACCTGTGTAGAAAATTTGATAATTTTTGTAAGCATGAGCAGACATAGTCGAGGGATCTTTATGCCTAGGTACCACGCTCTGCCAAGGTTAAATTCGAATCAGATATGTTAATAAGGTCCGTGCAATTCTAATCCTAGCTGTCCTATTTCAGTTGTGGAAAGAGAGGATCATAGACATGGTATTGATATTCATTTACCCAGTAAGCTGCAGTGAAGCCGGCCACACCCGAGGAAAGATGGATCACATAACCACCGGAGTAATCAATAATTCCCTTCTTAGACAGCCAACCACCCGGGGACCATATGCTGTATGCCGTGATCGTGTACGAGAAGGTCAACCAAAGAGGCACAAACAACATCCACGCGTGGAAGTTCATTCGTCCGAGCAACGCCCCGCCGATCAGGATCAGCGTGATCGCAGCGAACACAAACTGGAAATAGACCATGCTCGCGTTGGGGAACTTGTAATGGTTGAAGGTCTGCGCGAGGAGGAACTTCTGGTCGAGCGCGACGTTGGGCATGCCCAGGAAGTGGATGCCCTTGTCCCCGAAGGACATGTGGTAGCCCCACCCGACCCAGCACACGAGCACGCACGCGAAGGCGTACAGCGCCATGAAGGCCGAGTTCACGGCCCACTTCTTCTTCACGATGCTCCCGTACAAGATCACGAGGCCCGGCACGCTCTGCATGCCGACGAGCGTTGCCGCCGTCAGCTGCCAAGCGTTGTCGGCCTTGTTCATCCATTCCGGGCTCCCGCCGTCGGGGATGAGGTTCTCTGGGAGGTTCATACTCTCTCCTCTCTCTTGATTTCAGCCTCCAAACAAAGGGAGTTGATAGGACTGAGGGAGTGATGATTCCATTTGAAGGAGGATCTACTCTTTATATATGAGTTAGGATGCGGAGATTGGCGTGGTGAGTCGTTTCTAGGCTAAGCTGTTGCACGCCTGGACAATCAATCAAATTTACTTAATTATTCTCTTTTAGGTATTGCAAGTTGTGAAAATCTTGTCAAAGCCCTTTGGACTATGTGTGAATAGTGAACCAAATTGCGTTGCAATGAGGGCAAAATCGTCAAAATTAGTGCTTGCTAAAGACTTCTTGCTGTTGTCTTTGCTTAGTGATGGGGCGGAGAACACCACAGCAACATGTTTGCAACACTGGAATTACCGCCGAAAACAAATGCAATCGGGGAGCTTTGGTGCATTTGAGGACCAACGGATGATAATTCCTATGGAATGAGGAATCCGATATGTTTAGATTTTTCTGAAGAAATTGAACAGATCAACCTTGGTATGACAATCGATCTACTGTTGCTATTTCTGGGGTGTCGACCATTGTTCTTTTGGCTTCTGTTCTTGGAATCCTGAAGTGACGGGACAAATGACATGGCATTTCCCAAATCGGGCATGTGTTTGTGAAGTAAGATTCAAGAGCATTGCATTGGTTCTTTACGTTAGAGGGAAACACAACCGAAAGAAGACAAGAAAAATTGGCGGACGAGGATTTGGTAATGGTTGTTGGCGTGTTCATCTTGATTCCTGGGCAATGCAGTGTTGATGCTTGGAACAATTCGAATATATAAGAGTAACGAATCTCAACAAGAATAGAACTTGATAGTAATTTTTTTTTTTGAAGTACATAATTCCAAGAAAATGGGCAAAAAAAGGATGGAATTGTGCTGGAAAAGAACTTACCTAGCCAAAGTTTTAGGATCAATCATTACGAAAAGCCCGATTACGGGTAGTTGTTTTTACAAGTACCATTCACATGCCTTTGAACAAAACCCAACATTAGAAAGGCCAAATTGTCCTTCCCTTGCAAACTCATTGTAGCATCTTGCTTCGGGTTTAAATGTTTTGGTTTTCGGTTAATCTTGAGTGATTTTGGTAGATATGAGAATTTAAAACTTCGAGGATGGATAATATTGGAAAGAAAATGGCATTTCCGTAGATAAAAATATAAAAATAAACGATATGAAGGCACAAAATGATCTTCAAAATGAAATTTTAAGTAGGTAAGTTGTATTTTGAACAGTAAAGGTAGGCAAATAGGTGTTGCATAAAAAGTAGAGCATGTTTCTAACCTTATTTTCAAATCTAAAAACGAAGAAACCGTATAATCGTAGCAGTTGCCATCTCAATTGCGCAATTTCTTTAGACCAAAAAATTACGGCAAAATGATGATTTGAATTTTATTGATCTATCGCAAATTTTGGAGGTAATTCCTGGCCAATGTACTCCAAAATCGAGAGGTTCAATTTCGCCCGAGAGCTTACTCTGCGATTGTCTCTGGCACGCTAACGCTACACAAGCTATCTTGATGAGATCCCCATGCAAGTTCGATAGCTTTTTTTGTCACTTAGAAAACTAGCATTCAAACCACCACCTAAGATTACCCTAGAAGTAGATAAAATCCATTCAGTCATGGCAAATTGGAACATACCCAAATCACCAGCAGCAATCCAAGTCTACTGAAGTTTTATAAGATGCAAATGAGAGGGCCATAGTTTCAGGAAATTCTCAGAAAGATGGCTTCCTAAAAATCAAGCAGCTATGTTCGTTAAGTTTTCATTTACCAAGTACATAATATTGAACGAGTGAGGCCAGCCCCAGCCACTCTCGGTTCATTCCAACAGTTGCAGACATCATGCGAGTCCACCGGACTCAACACGTTGGGTGCAGGTACTCCACAGATCATCAAATCTCTCTGCCGAGAGTGATGATGGCAAAAAGTGGAGAACCCTTTAGTTGATCCCAGAATCAGGACTGGCGTCGCCATAGGAGACCAACCCCCTCCCAGAAGGGGAGCTGGATCGAGACCTTACAGGAGATACAGGGGCAGCTTTGCCCTCGCGCTTGTCTGGCACTGCATCAGGGGATCTAGATCCCGAGGAATCGTGGCTTCTTGAGGAGGAGCTTCTTCTGCGTGGAGAATGCTCATCGACTCTGGTCCCAAGTCGCGATTTCAACCTCTCGCTCAGTGGCAATCGCTTATCCGCTGGACTGGAACCACGCATTGGGCTCCGACTCCTGCTCCGACTCCTGCTCCTGCTCTGGTCCCGACCCCGGTAGCGGCCTTTATTACCACCCGGGCTGCGAGATCTACTCCTGCTTCGACTTCTTTTTCGTTGGTATCTACGAGGAGCCGGATAAACATAACATGTGCAGTAAGTACAAATGTTTCATCTATATCCAGTAAAAAAAGAACACCCCTTCGCTTAATTTTTACTATAGAATTAGTCAACATGCAAATTGCACTTATTTGTAGCCATAAATTGTTAAAAACGCTGTAATGAAAGATATATTGTTCTTATTTTTTAAAAATGAGATTACGAAAACTCATGTAAAACAGTAAAAGGTAACACATTTGAGAGTGGAGAAGTGTCTTAAGATGGTAGGGGGATCGATAGAAATGAAAATAGTGGAGAAGTATGTGACTTTTTCCATACAAATGTATCTATTTACTTTATTGACGTAATTTTCCATGAGCAATCAAACTTTATTATACTTACCATGAGGTACTTTAGGAAGCAAAGAAAGCAGTTTATTACAAAATCAAAGACCCACTTATTACATCCAGTATATTAGTGTTTGTGTGTACCACATGCGATGCATTTAAAAAGTCTCTAAATACGGTACAAAGACGATAATACTTGCGGAAGGATAAAATTAAGGGTTTTGCAACGTTAGTAAAATCATTGAAGCGATTAGAACAATCTACAATTGTGCTATACGATGGCTCCAAAAATCATCATCTTTAGAGAATAAGAGAAATAAGCAATTAATATGAAGGAATCACGTATTGTTTTGTTATTCTAATTACTCTTAAGGCAAAAACAAAGTTGGAAATTTAATATATAAATGCAGGGTAAGTTTGCAAGAGATTCTCCGCGGCCATTAATGAAGAGTAACACATGCATACAAAAAAGCATGAATTAAAAGCTTTTGGATTGACAAAAAAAAGTTAAAACCAGAAACTGACACTATTAAAATAGGCTCACAATATTTCCACCCCTCAAATAACTTTAGACACGCCCTGAAATTATAATGGTCCAAAATAACCCTTATTGGGATCTCATTAATAGTAAGATTGACGAAAGAGAAAAACATATCATATGGATCAACCAATCTCAGGATTTTCATCTACCTTTCTTAAGTGTTCTCCCTTCTCTCTTCTACTGTGTTTTTTACAAGAATTCTTTAAGATTTGAGCACCTTAATAAATTTAATGCTCGGGATTCTAATTTAAAAGAATATTTATAACATTCACACTATGATGTGTCTATGGAAAATTTTATTTACAATCCTTCCCTTAAAATTCAATCTCTAATAATTATATGTCATAATCAATGTTAAAGTTGCAAACTTTAAATTTTGGCCAAGATTCTTCCCAAAAAAGAAAGTTTTGTCCAAGACAGGTTATTGATAGCTTTTTGTGTGGAACAAGAAAGAAAAATTTTGGAATCAATGTACCAATGTTTTCCTATCAATCAGTTCGACTCTTTGTACCCTTGTGCCCTTGAAATTCCTCAAGTTTGGATCTGTTGAAGGTATACATATCATACCTTTAACTGAACGAGTGAAGATTCAATACCATCACGAAAAATCCGAAAATAACATACGCAAGTAGAAGAGACAACATGAAGTTGGGTATAGAATGGAAAGGAAAATAACACAAGGTTGGAAAATAAAATCACATTGTTTTGATTAATATGGGCAGTCTTATATATTGGCATTTTTCAATAAACAATCTCTTTCAACCTTTCCCTCTATGATTTTCACCACTTAGTTCTCTTGAGGTTATTTTCATCAACTTAAAAAGTCAGGGTGCATCGCAACTATTTAGAGTGTGGAAATCAAGTGAGCCTCCAAATAACTTGTACTTCAAATTCTTAATATCTAGTTAAAGAAGAAGATTTGTACAGGCCTTCTACTAGTAGCATGAGCAAAAGTGTGTTTCAAAGAAGAGAGAGAACCTTGGAGGGCTCCTGCCTCTTGGGGGGCTTCTATATCTTCTCTGTGGTGAGCGCTTAGAATAACTTCTGTAATTTGAATACCTACATAAGTCCATCAAGCACTAAGCGATAGCGAACATAAAATTGGCCATACCACTTTTTGAAAAAGTCCAGCTCACCTATCATTCCTCCTGTCATTAAAGTTTCTTCTACCATAATGGTTGGGCCTATAAGTTGAATCTTCTGGAGATGGGGTACGATATCGACGGGCATAGGAGAAACGTTCTGTGAAGCCACGGCCCTTTCTAATGCGCTTCGAATTACCATCTGGCGGAGGGCTTCTCGATGGATTGCGGGCACGAATAGAGGAAGAAGGTTCAGAGGCTTTACGCACAGGACTGCTCGATGGACTTCCCTCAGGGAGGTTGTTGGCCAACCTTTTGGGGCTGTCCCTCATGCTTCCGCTGAATTTCAGGAAAACACCCAAAAGTTTGCATCAGTCAGAAAGTGTTGGGCAGCATTCTGAACAATGAAAATACACCCAAACCTTCTACTAAGAAAAAAGCACATAAGAAAGGCAAGTGCTGAAACCTGGACTTCTTTGAACCATCTGAACGGGGACGTTGATCATCATATTTACCAAATATTGCATCAGTACCATGCCCATTATGCTGAACATCATTCTTTGGCGAAAATTCACCTTCTTCATGTGACGAATTGTCCTCAACTTTCTTGATTTCACGATTCCTTGGTGGTTCTACAGCAAATTTTTCCAAGTCAAAAGCAGCAGAGATCCAATTGGACAAACTCCTAATTAAATCAAAAACACTTTATAGACAAGTGAGGAGATAACTCCGAGAATTGACATACCTAAATTTTCAGGAGAATTTGCTTCGGCATCTTTTGAATTGCTAATATTTCGAGCAGAGTCACGTCGAGAAGATTTCTTCTTGTCATCTCTACCCTTCCTACCGCTAGAACTTTCACTTTCTGAATCACTTGAACTATCTGAACTCCTGAAAAGAAAAAGGTAAAAAAATGGCCATTCTCAATACGTAGCGAACAAAAAGCAGTTGGGTTGAGTGCCAAAACTTAAATGTAGCAAACAAAAAATTCAAATAAATCCAACCGTTTGGATTTGCGCCTTGATCGTTTGTCATATCCGGCACTCTTTCGTTCCCCACGACTATCCTTCCCTCTTTGCCGACGAAGTTTTTCTCTTTTTGCTGACCTCCTTTTCCTGCGCCTTCCGTCACTCGAGCTTGAATCAGATACCGATGACTCAGAATGCGATTCGGATTCCGACTCTGTGTCTGAGGAATAAGATTCAGAATCGCTGTCAGAGCTCTCAGAGCTGTATGAATCAGATGAAGAGTATCTCCTCCGTTTCCTTGTTCTCTCCTTGTGGGATTTTCTCTGTCGTCTTCTTCCTTGGGATTCAGAGGAGGAATCTCTTGCAGATCGTTTCTTTCTCGCTGATCAAAAAAATTCTATTACACATTGGAAATAGGAGAGTCATAATAGTCATCCCACAAAAGGTAGCAGGTAGCAAATTGAGGGCAGCACAAAAGCAGAAGTACCTTCTAGTGTTGCAGATTTACTTTTTTCCTCCACAGCAGCATCTTGAATTCTTCTTTCAGAAGTCTCGCCGCAATCCACAATTTTCACTGGTTGGAGGGGTTTTCCATCAGCACTTCCTACCTGTTCAAGTTTCTTCACAACTTCCATTCCCCTTGTAACCTTCCCAAATACAACATGCTTCCTGCCAGGAAAAACATGTATAAGTTGTAAACATCATATTCATATGAAGAACGGTAACATGGCCATGAGTACTACTAACTACTTGGAAAGCACGTTACAATTTTTTTTTTTTAAAAGGAAAAATGTACCCATCAAGGTGAGGTTGGCGCTTGAATAGTATGAAGAACTGGGACCCATTGGTATTTGGCCCACCATTTGCCATAGAGAGAAGACCAGGTCCATCATGTGCTAGTTTGAAATTCTCATCTGATGTATGAAAAACTTAAATTACTAAAATGGTAGTAAACAAAAAGCATTCAAGTTGATGGAGAAATATTACCAGCAAACTTCCCCCCATATATACTTTCTCCACCAGTGCCTGCAATCCAAAATGGGTCATCCCTTCTTCTAGTCCGATCATGACTATGTAGTCAAAAACAGTTTATCCAATCATGAACATTAGGAATTTTTACAAGAAGGGAAGAGTACCATTTCCATTTGAAAAATCACCACCCTGTGATGACAGTGAAGAGGATTAATGAGCTTCCAGTTATACACATCACATAAACAGAGTGCACAAAGGAATTTGAACCTTCAGATCAAAGGATTCTAAGTAACAACTTATCTAGTGACTCTAAAATCACTCATCCAATATAAGATTCAATATTCAAATGGCTATGACAATACTAATAGACACTTAAAATTGGCTAGCACTCTTGGCCAGCTTCCCAGCTTCAACTTTTCTCCAACTCTCATTTGCAAGAAGTTCATGACTTCTGAGACTATCGAGATTGAGGCTTTTACTGAAGGGGAAAAATTAAGAATGTATTAATGATTGCTATCTTCCAACTAAAATCATCATCCATAGCCCACAAACTGGCCTCTTCAGATTTCAGACTTCTAATTATAGCTTCTTTTCCCCAAAAAAAATATGATTATTCTATTGACAGTAATTAGAAGCCATGTAAAAGATAAAGCAATGGCCAGCAGCCTCCCCCACCTACCAAGGCAGGGAATAGATGCCAAGTGATGCTATTATTTGACAGAAAAATGACTGTTAATGTGCATTGAACAATTTTTTTTTCTTCTTCTCTTGGTCTAACAAGTGTATTTGACAATCTTATTTCATCGTTGAACTTCACAGCTTTCAAGACCAATTTTAAAGATTTCGCAATCCAATGGACAAGCAACACTCAACCCCTTAGCTTAACAGACTCACATCCTTTCATCTACAATCAGGACCTCACTAAACCTACTAGCACTCTCAAGCCACATAATAAGGCCCATACATCTGAACGAGATGCTTGCATACATTAAGTCATTATACTAACTTGACAAGATTTCTTCAACTCTCAGAGATAAAGGCTCAATAGGCAGTGGACACGACAATTATATGCAGTCAGAAGGTGAAGCAATTAGTAGCAAGCATCTTTGGCAGACTATGACCGCTAATTGTGCCAATTAGACTATGCTTAAAATTTATACATCACAAGAACGACCATGAAAAAATATATATCAATAAAGAAACAAAATAACGTACTTGAGCCATGAACCCTTTAATAATTCGATGAAAGTACGATCCTTTGTAGTGCAGAGGCTTGCCAGTAGTTTTCCCCGCTCCTTTCTCTCCTACATTGAATAGAAAATACTATCAACAATCAACAAAATGCCAATGCAACCCTTACTGCTTACTCTACACCGACAGAATGAAAAGAGTGTTCATTTAGTTACACTCATATTAGAGTGGAAGCGAGCAAGAAATTAAAGAGCAAAGCATCATGGAGCTTGCCAATTGATGGCATGACTTCCAAGAACCTTGGTAGTAAAATTGAGCCAAATCAGAGCTTCTAGTTTTCATGCTCTGTTGCATCTAAACATTACATGTCATGTCTTTTAGATATATCTTTCCTGGACCAACTAACCAAGACTCACAATAAGTGCCATACCCTTGTTAAACGCAGTGGGAGAATCTAGAGATCTCTTATTCACCTAAATGAAAAGTTTGATAACAGAGACTATGCAACATGGTATCCACATCAAATCCATTTCAAGCCTGGACAGAGAGCCACCATAAAATTCATTCAAAATCAATAATCAGTGATGAGAAATCTAGTTCACTTTCGAACTCTGACTAAAGAAATAATTCGTCCAATGCACCGAAATGGACGACCTAAGCATACTTTCCCATATAATATAAGCCTATTGCATGGAAGAAGAACGCTCACTACTAATGCTAATAGAAGGAGACTCTAACCAATTTCTTTAGAGAAAAATGATGAACAGCATTGCATGTACACAGTACACCATACCAGCATTAATACTTTTGAATCATGACAAACTTAAAGATTAAATGAACCTGTACAGAGTGATCGGAAATTTTCTGCCGTCCTGGGAACAGTGTCAGCAAAGAGCTGCAAGACTCAGAAAAAGGCACAATTGTAAGTGTGCTTCCAATAGACAGCAACAGTCAAGACTTCTTACAGAAAAATGACATTGACAAAAAAAAATCTTTTAAATGAACCGACTTCTATTCTAGGTTTACCTCGATAACAATTCTCTCCACAGGATCCCCATCAATAGACACATCTAAGAAGACGAGAGGGTTCTTTCTCTTAGTCATGTCCCACGACTTCAAAAATGCTGAAGGAGAGTACAAAAGAGGAAAAGATAGGGAGGTCAATGGTCATTAATAAACCAAGCAAACCAATTTCTAACACACACCTGCAGTCCAAGGTATGAGTACGAGAATGGTATCAAGCATAAACACAAGTATGCTAAGTCTCTACAGACGAAACCCACGAGGATATAGAGGGAAGTTTCACAGATTAAATTGTCACACCAATCTCTAATGGGAGATCATAACGTGTCACCCAAAAGCCCAAAACACAAAATGGACTTCGTCTATAAAGAACCCATATAAAACCTTGTCTTTGTCTCTACAAATCCACAAGAATACACCGGAAAGTTTTCGACTTTGAATTGTCACACAGTGGAAGCACATAGGTCGTCCAAAAAAAAAAATCGCATCTTTCGCCAACCCGCAAGTACATACATCACGACCCACAAAACCCAAAACCCTAATCACTCCACTCTTCGATTCCAAGCCATGGGAAGATGCACATTCGTACAAACAAACTATCGGAATTTTACGAATCAAGAGTTCACAATCGTAGGAGAAGCAACAGATGAACGAAAGTGTAACATCTGAATTAATCTTAAGAGGGGCCGAAGAAAAAAGGATCAAGAATGCGAAACTGAAGAGCGAGAACTACCTTCAAGTTCAGAACTTGGAACTTCTGAGCGAGAGAGAAAGGGAGAAGAGGAGGGAGCGGCTGCAGAATCTCACTTCCAGTTCCGAAATAGAGAGCTCGGTTTGCCTCTGAGAGAGAGGGAGAGAGTCTAGGGTGGCATCCGGCACGCTCTCACGTGTGTCTGAGATTTTTATTTTTTTTCTCACGCAGGTTTTCTTGTTGTGTCTTACGGTAACAAGGAATCGACAGTAGATTTCAAAGATGGTAAAAGTGTACGTCCTATCTTACAGTTTTAGGATTTTCAGCGAATTTATGTTTTTAATTTATTCAATATGATCATATATTCAACAAATTAAAAATTTATAAATCACATTACATATTGAGCTAAAGTTAAAAAATAATTTTCAGGAGTAAAAAATACAAAATACAAACTAAATTAAATTAAAAAATAGTTAAAAAAAAAAAAGGTACTCGCCGATGGCCGCCGCCGCAATTGCCAATAAGGGCCGGCAAAGGTTTCCTGGGCCTTCTCAAAGCCCAACGAGGGCTTGAAGGCTTGGATCTGGGGGAGGGCGCGACCCTCTCTCACCTAAGGTTATTGAAGCTTGCTCAGGGTCGATTCAAATTAAAAATGTTAATACTTGATTGAATTTTTGTAATTTTTAGGACTTAATTGTACTTTCATGATAAGTTTTAGGATTTTTAGTACACATATTCTCAAATTAAAAGTTCAGAAATCACCTAATCCTTGTGTAGTGGGCTGTGCCCAAGTATGATCCGCTTCCTGTCGGGAGGGGCTTGTGCTCGTGTTTGGTGGGGCTCGACCCGATTCATTTTGTATTTTTCTATAACCAACGTATGACTGATCACTTGCCCAACAGCTACTGATTATCGACAAGTTGGGCTGGCATGATTTGGGCCTGAACAACCCACGGGCCTGACCACGAGTGGCCCAGCGCATGCTTTGATCGGTCTAGGAAACAAAGGCCCGTCCGTACGGACCATAATTCTCATGTCCGGGCTTTTCCCGGCCGGGCCCATTTCCTTTGCTCTAGACAAACCGGAACCCCTCAGCTTTAGAGTCCGAAACCGAAACCAATGTCGTCGCCGGACAACCTCGACGACTACTCGCCCTCCGCCACCACCGCCGTCTTCCCCCGCCCCCTCCCTCTCCTCCGGGGGCCCCTGCCCGCCGCTCCGACCGACGACCCCTCCTCGGGTCCCTTCGTCCTCGCCTTCCGCGGTCTCGATTCTTGGTCCGCCGCCCTCGCGTCCTCCAAGTCCAAGATCCTCGAGCAGTGCGAGGAGGGCGCCAGGATCGGCTGCGCGGTCGCCGCATCGCGGGGCTGCGCGCCACCGTGGTGGGCCCCGCTCGCCGGCCGGAAGGCCGACCTGAAGCGGAGGGAGGAGTGCGAGGCGCGCGAGATGGAGTCCTGCCTCGTCGCGGCGAAGGAGAAGTGCGCTGGCTTCGCGGTGGACAAGTGCTCGAAGCCGTTCATGGACGCGAGGGTGGCCGTGGTTGGCGAGAGGGATGCGAGCGAGAGGGCGGTGGTGAGGCGGTTGATCTCGCGATCTTGTTTGGCTGGTAAGAGTGAAAGTTTCGATTTGGGATGGTTTGACGAGTTGGGTTTGGACGATTTGGTGAAATGTGGACGTGGCGGTGTGAGTTATGTGAAGGCTAGTGAACTGGTGGCGAGGAAGACTGATTTTAGTGGTAATGATTGAGTTCTTGATCTTGTCGGTTCAATGAGGGCATTGCTAGTGCTAGTTGAGGTTTCGATTTTGAGTGCTGGAATGTGATTGTGCGGACGTAAGAGATTTTCCAGGCGGAAGTCGATGTTGAGCTTGGATTGTGGAGACTTCAAGAAAGTGCAGTTTGGTTCGGACGAGGGTGTTTGAGGTAATGCTTGTTCGATTGCTCAATGACTTGATGAAGATTTGAATATTTCAATTTGTTCAGGCAATGTAAGCTTCGTGTCGATTCGCCGGCTGGCAATGGCATGAGATTTGTAAGTGAAAGAGCGAGAGCTGTCAAAGATCCAATGTCATAATGTATATTGTTCTTCGAATTGCTTATGCACTCAGGGGTGTGGTGGAATAGTTTCCTGATGCTGTTTCATAATGATATTGTCCGGAATTTGCAGATACTAGATAAATTATTGACTGGGTGTTTAGTGCCTTATGATGTCACAGAGCCATGCTGATTTATGATTTTCTGTTTAAAACTTCCATTTTGACTAACTGGCTTGTTTCCTTTCCATTGCTATTAAAGATTTTTACAGGTTTTGTTTTTCTTTTGGGATTTGTTGACAATTCGGGGGTCTGTGAGAGAGAAAGGCCTGTTACCGGCTGTAGGGAAATGGAAAAGAGGTGTGATGCAAAAGATGTATCCGCCTATAAGCGTCCCGACTTTAACAACGGAGACACCTGAATGTTTTTGGAAAACAGTTTTCTTGGCATGGTCGACATACAAATTGTTTGTCAAACAAAATCAATTTGGTCACATCGTGGCTTACAAAAGAATGTACTATTAAATAGGAAGGTTTTTCTCCCCCAGTGAGAGCTAGTCCTTTTTGGTATCAACTCATAGTTTTACACACAGTATGTAAGTGCGCGCAAACAGTAAATAGGACTCTCAAGTCTGCATCTGACATTGTGCTAGTTTATATATCTACTACCACCTTTTGATAAGTCATGCTGAGTAGCAAATTCTTTTCTTTGACCGAGACTGATGACCATTTGACATAAGCTAATAATGCAAGAAAATTCTTGGCAATCAATTATCTATTGTTGTTCTGTCGCTTATGATTGCTCCTTTCATTCGACTTTATTTTGTTGCCTTTGAGATAATTGGTCTAAAGGATTGTCTGATGGAATATGGATCACTAGAAATTGTTTTGCTAATAATATTCTTCTTTCTTATCAACTGCACTCTTCATGGTCATGGACACTCTCCTGGCCTTTAATGTTGGATGATATTAGCAGCTGATATATAAAGCAATCTTTATTTCCTGAAGTTTAAAGAGCTTTCTTTTCTCTTTATCAATGGATGAATATTCCAGTGGCTGTTTGCTTTGCGCGACTGATTATTACAACTAGAGTCGGTTCTGTTAATACAGTACCTGAGCTGAGGTAAAATGTTTACCAACCAAAAAAGATTTTTTGATTTTATCTTTCTGTTGAAATTATGCCCTTTTTGTTTTTCATATTTGATATCATTGAGATGAGTCTTAGCCATGAATCATTGGTTTCCCCTCCTCCACCGGTGTGATGAGTGTCGTGAATGGAGATTGCTGTTGGCCTAGCCTATCTGATTGCCAATGAGTTAGTGTCAAGTTTCATTTTAGTTTTTAGGCTCTGGTTCAGTCTTAACTGACGAGTGCTTTTTTTTTAATGCTGGCTGCAGATCATCCAGATTATCAATGGCCATGAGCCAGATATGGAACTCCATCCTGTAACCGGAGAATTTTCTCGTTGTTACTTGTCCTTAGCCTTTCCTTCGACGCCATGGTCTAAAGATTTAAGTTGTCACGCTCGCGGTTTTGGCACGGGGTAAGCATCGTGGTTGCAACTTGTTCCATTCTTTGCATATTATATTCAGTAGTAGCTTTGTTCATCAATAGCTACTGTTCTCGGTGCAATGCCATACTTGGATGATTAATTTGCTTTTGATAGTTTGACTGATGGTTCTTGAAAACGGGTCAGCTAGGCTGCTGCTTCAATGGGGCCAACTGTCAATCCACATTTAACTCGACTCTCAGACCGTGCAAGTTCAACTTCAAGATCGTTTAGCACTCACTGCAGCTAATAAATGACGATGGGTTTTACCTTTTGGACGATGGTAGATGTGATAACGATTGATCTATAAAGTTGGTATATTGGACGAAATGGCAAGTTATTGGATGTTAAATATGATCGACTTGTTTAAAGGCTTAATTATAGTTCGCCATATTATTTAGTATATCCGTAGATCGGTGTAGAATCTTAGGGCGCGTTTTGCAGCCCGGGTAAAAGGCCAGATAGTACTGGCGTTGGGCCACACACTTTAGACGGGATAGACCTGGATAGGTTCACATAAAAAGCTGGATCAACTTTCGTGGCCTTAGGGCTTTGGATGAATTCAGTACAGAAATATCAAAAAAGAAAAAGAGTAAGAACAGAATGAGCCTATGGATTTGTGTCTTATTCACCCTAAAGAGTTGCAGGTTATAACAAGTCTCCGCACATATTTTATGCTATCCTATCTCAATGTTTATGTTGCGGCTAATTTTAGCTTCAGCATAAAATAAATTTCAAGATGCAATTCTCATGGAATCTCTACTTGCGACGTTCATCGACTCTGCAGTGCTATGAGTAAATGCAGAGATAGCAAAGTTAGATCAAATAGATGGGCTAGGTTCGTATGCGTTATGATATGTGCCACTCATCTATCATCTTCTTAGTGTTTGTGTCTTTGGCGTTTTGGTTTGCTTCTTTGTTATGAGGGTTATTTATCTTTTCATTGGAAATGAATAGGGCGTCAAATTGGCGGGTTGGGTCGAAAATGGTCCGACCCAAATCCACATATTTGACTCGTTTTGAGTCATTATAGGCAATACAAATTTAGTGACCCATATTCAACCCGTTCCCACATCACTAAAACACATTAATATCTAAAAACAAGAACTTTTATGCTATGCGTGTAGAGTGTAAAAAATAAAATTTTTAGTAGTTGTATAAGTTTCTAAATAAAATTTTGAACTTGTGACTTGTCTTTGTTGCAAATTTTTTCGAATTTCACAACGAAGTATCTAACATCTCTTAAAATCAATCACTCTATAAACATTGACATGCAAAACCATGTACTAATTTTCACGAATTTATAAAGCTTGAAAGATCAAATTTTTTTGACTATCTTTTCAATTTTGAAAAAAAGAAGATCATAAATAAAAGAAAATTAGAAAATAAGTTGCCCCACCCGAAAATCTCCCAAACTAAACATGAAGACAAGTGAATAGCGAAGCATCCCCCCTCTTTCTATGTGGCATTTATATATATTTTTATTCAAATCTTATTTAAATTAAATTAAAAGGCTAAAAAAAAACAAAACAAAACAGGAAAAAGAATAAGAGAGCATCTTCCGGATCTTCGAGGGCAAATGAAGTGATGTGCCACCAAATCCCATTCCTTCGCTTGAAGAAGAAGTGGCCCCGTCCTCCGTGAAGAGGAGGATTAATGATAGGATATCATCGACGATCACACCCGGTGTAGTTCCGATTGCCACTGCTGTGTGAGTCTCGCCCCTCCATACACTCTATACTATAAGCTCCGAACTCCGTTGTACTTCCCTTTCAGATTCTTCACCTGGTAGTTCACAAACCTAATCACTCCGCTATATTCGTGAGCAGCACATGGACCTCGCGGATGTGCTTGCAACTCCCAACTTAGCCCTAGTTTTATTTTCAATTTTGTTTCTTTAAGTAAATTTTAGATTTTTTTTAGTTTTTTAATTCAATTTATATAAGATTTGAATAAAATAATAATAATAATAAATGCCACATAGGAGAGAGAAATTCATTTTAAAATGCCACGTCGCATTCCTTGACAATCGGAGTCCGTTGCTGCTAGTTCTGGCCAAGCTTCTTTCTGGGGATGGAGGCCTGCACGTATATAGGCAGTGTCGGCATAGGCGATGGAGGTGGTGGCGACGCCAATCAGTTGGGATCAAAGAGGACGGAGAGCGGTGCTGCGGTGGTGTCATGATAAAGGTGGAGATTAAAATTTGCTAAGGAGGTATAGAGGGGGAACTGCAGATGAAATGGGCTTTAGATCGTTCTGAAAGCCCAGCCCACATTTCCCTATTGGAGCTCGTTTGCTCCTCAAAACCCATATCATGACACCATTTAGCAAAATCCTTAGATGGGCTCCTCTTTGCCAACCCATTTTGACACATTTAGAAATGAGTAAGCAATCAAAGTTTGAATAATGAAAGCATAAGATGGCTTGTGCTCCACTCGGCCCAGACTTGAATTGCAAATTTGTAGTCTTGGGAGGTGCTCTATCCGATAGTCCGGGTGCCCGTTTATTGTATTGCCTGGGAATTGAATTATGTTTCTCTCTCCCATCGAAAAAATTGACTAGCATGGTAATTTTAGAAACATCTCACTCCACGAGTTATTAGATACACCCGATACCGTAAGCCCATTATATCTGAACCTTTGGATCTTATGGGGCACGTGCGAGGTCCATAAGATCTGATTCACAGACACAAGACCTATATTATCTGAGAGCACCTTATAAGTTTCCTTCTCTTTGATTCATATCTGAAAAATGGGATAGTCACGGGATAGCAAAATGTATCTGATCACGACTTAGAAGTTGAAGATTTTTAAGACCGTGGGTGTGCCTAGGTAGGTTTTTGGCTTGGCTTTAATTTTGTAATGCACGAATTTTAATTTTTTTTTGAAATCAAGATACTGACAAAATTCCGCAATATATTCATATTTGACAAATGATTTTGCATATGATTTTCTCACGATGTTTTGAAATTCTAATAATACATTGTCAAGAAGACAGCAACATAGAATAATAGGTGAAAGCTCAACGATCTTCTCATTTTTCATGTCCTTGGTCATTTACCCTTTTGCTGAGCAGGATACTGGAAATTGAAAACGTAGTCTCATTCTCTTCCTCCCCCCCCAAAGAGAGAACAAAGGGTTGAAAACAGAGGATGATGGAAGGCAAAACTGAGGTGGCATTTCGGTTGATGGGATGGGATCGAATTGACAGATCGCTGAGGTAAAAATAACAGGGCCTTTTTCCGTGCGCGTGTTTGTATGGTGGGGGCAATTATAAGGTGCCGACGGCCAGATCTCAGGTCGTGATTCGCTGCATTTTTTCGTGATTTTTATAAAAAAATCGAGTAGCGTATAAAAATTTAAGGATTAATAAAAAATTTCAAATGAGTAAATTTATGATAAATTTACCCAATTTAATTCATTGATCACTAAAAAATTTAAATTGGTACACATATAATAAATTTACCTAAAATTATTTTTTTTTATTACAAAAAAATTTTGGTACATTTATAATAAATTTACTTTTCGTTAAATTGGATTAACATGGACCGACCGCTGCGATTTACTCTATTTTTTTTTCTTTTATTCGATGATCAGAGTGAGGAGAGAGAGAGACCGCTACCCTCCTTCACTATTCACTTGTGAATGGTGGCATTGAAATTCTTAAGAAAGAAAAGTCCAAGGGAACCCAAATAATTGGAGCTTCCTCAACCCCGCTAATGATGACAGTCCTCGTCCCGCAAAAGATTGAAAGGGAAAGAAAGCGACTCTTTGATTTGAAATGGGAAAATGGCAAAAAATGATATTCGAATTTTAATGCAACGTGTAAGGTAATCCCTGAACTTTTAATTTATTCAACACGATCCTCAAATTTTTTATACATATTCAGCTTAATTCCCGAATTTTATAAAAATGGTCAATGTCATTCCTGAACTTAAATTAATAGAACAACAATATTCAACATTTTCATCTGACCAAGTCGAACATGTACTTCTGTCGAAAAGTCAAAAATCATACTGAATAAATTAAAAATTTATGGATCACATTATACGTCGGACTAAAGTTCAGAAATCATATCAAATAAATTAAAAGTTCGAAAATCGTATTACATATTTATACAAAGTTCAAGGACCATATATATCCTCATCCCATTTGAAATTTCAACCGTTCTTCTCTGTTTGGGCAAATGGAAGTCGAATTGAATTTGAGGGTAGGAATCCAGAGGCTACAGCACTCTCCCCTACCTAACAGCTTTCAGCTGTTCCTACCTGCTGCGATCACTCATCACAACCCCTCATAGGCGCAGACGCTAGGGACACAGAGAGAGAGAGAGCGAGCTTTGTGGTTGGGGTTATCGAATGAGGCGAGCGATGCATATGAATGCGCCACCAGGCAGAGGCTCCTCCTCTCAGTCCTCACCCCCGACACTGCTCGTGCCGCCCTATTCCCACCACCTGTTCCTTCGCCCCCCACCCTACTTTCATAACTGCTCCTCGCGCGACAAACGTCGCATGTTGAGCTAGCCAACCTCGTCCCAAACGGCGTGGAGAGAAAACGCGAACTTTATTTAGGATATCCTCTTGCTGTTGCTTGGAAGGTTTACCCTTTTTTTACAGCTTATTTAAAGAGGAGCCAAACAAATATTCGTCCCTCTCTCTCATCGGATTTTCTACAAAGAAACTTAACTTTTCTTTTCGTAACAGAAACGAAATTCACATTTTTGAAATCATGATTTTCATTGTGTGCTTAACTAGTATACTTGAGACACGGCACCAGCGGCTGGACCATGGTTTTTGTGCTGTGAGTATGATCTCACGTTGCTCTTGTGGTCTTCGTTTTATCCTAAGGTTGAGTCTCGGAAAGTAGGAGCCGCAGAGAGACTACATAAACAATATCATACTGATTATAGAAACTAAGTTTTGTTTCCCTACTGCGTACCGTTTCGTTTTTAAAGTCCACCGAGCCAAAGACCTCAGTTGATCTGTGTTTGTATCTTGATATATTTGAATTACGAACACCCATCTAACCTAAGCCAAGAATAAAAAGCTTATGGACTAGTTTATTTTTATAACCAATTGATTATAATTAATCAATTGATTGAAAGAACATTCTTATGAACATTGATAGTTCACAAATATGATATAAGTAGACTTTAGTTGAAGCTGTATAGGATCTATAGCTGAATATATTAGAGGACAACGCTTAATTCTTTACAACGCGTGATGATTTTTGTCTGCTATGCATTCAATAATTTCGCGATCTGTGTACTCGTACAGCCTCTCTCTCCATCTATCTATCTCTCTACAGACAGAGGTCGTCGGCCGCCCAAAAGTCATCAGATGCTTCTTTAATTCACTGTTTCACCAGATGGGTTATGTTTCCTTCTTTGCAGCTTTCTCTTG